GTCTTTTAATTTTGTGGCTGCTGTCACTGTCTGCAGTGATTGTGGACCCCAAGAAAATAATATCTGCCACTGTTTCCATATTCCCCCGTCTATTTGCCATGAAGTGGTAGGACTGGATGCCATGATCTTAGTTTTTTGAATGTTGATAACTGTATAAAAGATTGTCCTACAGCATTGGTAGGATCTGGTGAGCTAGGTTTCAACCACCATTTTGACATATTTTAAGTGGAAGATATTTTTGATCATTTGTAAACTGAAGCTAATCATAGACCTTTCCTGCTATGACACAAGCTTATTATGACCATCAAATGTGGTAGGTTATTGAAGGCTTATATTTTTTCTTTTAATTGTAATAATTAAAATTACATAGTGCATTGTAAAAGGGGCTTCCCTCATAGCTCAATCAGTTCAAAATCTGCCTGCAATGCAGGAGACCCAAGTTCAATTCCTGGGTCAGGAAGATCCCCTGGAGAAGGAAATGGCAGTTCACTCCAGTATTCTTGCCTGGAGAATCCATAATCAGAGAAGCCTGGCATGGACTATAGCCGTACAGTCCGTGGGGTTGCAAGAGCCTGACACGACTTGGCGACTACACCACAAGTGCATTACAATAATGTGAGGCGGTGGTAGTACTAGGTTCAGTGGGTAGGTTTCCCTCCCTTTGATAGACCACGCTGGCAAAGATGAGTTACAGGACTTTGATGATGGTTCCTTTCCTGCCTCCTGCCAGCCTGGGTCCGGGCTGGTAGATTTCCAGCATGCATGGTATAGCATTGCAAAAGTCTGGACCAGGAGTTGGGTATAGAGACTTGAGCTCCTTCGAGTGGAAATTTTGGACTGTGTGTACTGCCCCTTTGCTGGAATATCTTCCAGTCTGGGGAATTTGCTAAACGATCCCTGTTTCCTGTTCTCCCATCCTGTAAACATAACTGTTTTTCTCCTCCGGTCTAAGGACAGTCTTTAGCCATAGGTCAGATTGCTAGAATAGGAGTATTCTCTAATGTACATTGGGTAAAGTACTGCCACTGGGAAAGCAGACAGCTCTTGTCCAGAGCTGGGCCTCTTCCCTCTGGCAGAGAAGGGCCCATGATAGGGAGATCCGTGTTTACCGAGTCCTGCCATGGTAGTGGGCATAATGTTCTCAAAAGAATACAACCTGATTATCTCTATCGAGGCTTGGAAACCTCTTGGAAGCAAATAAAGCTGGTAACAATATGCCCCCCATCTTCCTCATCCTTTGTGATAGTAGTCTCTCAAGTTAAGAATGTGTACCCCAGAGAATTTGCAGAGTAACCAGATTACCTGCCTTTGTGGGTTATTTGTTCTTTTTTTTAAAAAAAATTCTCTGCTTTTATCATCCTCTCTTTGCCTTTGATAATTGGTAGTTTCCCTCTATCATATCTGAGCGGGGATTTTATTTTTATCTTTTCCTATTTAGGGTTCAATTTCTGGAGGTTAGGTTTGAGTCTGTCTCAAGTCTCTCTGGCCCTTTTTAGAGTGTCTTTATCCTTTTCTCAAGGGCTTCCCTGATAGCTCAGCTGGTAAAGAATCCACCTGCAATGCAGGAGACCCTGATTCGATTCCTAGATCGGGAAGATTCCCTGGAGACAGGATAGGCTACCCACTCCAGTATTCTTGGGCTTCCCTTGTGGCTCAGCTGATAAAGAATCTGCCTTCAATGTGGGATAGCTGGGTTTGATCCCTGGGTTGGGAAGATTCCCTGGAGAAGGGAAAGGCTACCTACTCCAGTGTTCTGGCCTGGAGAATTCCATGGACTATACAGTCCGTGGGATCCCAAAGAGTTGGACACAACTGAGTCACTTTCACTTTCACTTGTCATCCTTTCCTCATATTTTGCATTTCATATTTTATGTCTTTATGTTAAATGTACTTATTTTAGAGTGATATTTGTCAATCAACTGATACTCACTGATGGTGAATTATTTTGTTATATATTTTAAAATTTTGGATTATGAGCTTAATTTCACTGGTGGATCCTTTATAGCCTGTGTTAAGGAAGTCTTCCTTTTAAATGTTTTGCTTTGTTTCTGTTGTCACACCAGGAATTTTCCAGGCTCAATACAGATTATGGGTTTAATGACAAGTGTCCATTTGAGCTCCAGACAGCATGAGTGTCAGCCAGTGGTCGAAAGTATTCAGAGGAGACTTTGTCCACTCAGAGCTTAATCTAAGACAAAGTTTTCTTGTTTCTCAGTGCAGTGGGCTGACTTTTTTCTAATCCACCCTTTCACCAAATTAGTCCTTCAAGGACCCTGGTTTTGTGTGTTCCATCTCTTCACCTTCCATAGGCACAAGGCTTCATTTCCTATCCCCAGTGAGCACCAAGGCCAAAGTCTCAGATAAGGAATTGATGAACTGTAGCCCAGATGCCAAAACCAGCACACCACTTCTCTTGGTAAATAAAGTCTTATTGGAACACAACCATGCCCATTTGCTTCTGTGTTGACTGAGCTACTGACAATGGCAGGGTTGAGTTGCTACCATAGAGATCGTGTGGCTCACAAAGCTGAAAATAATCAATATCTGTCCCTTGGCAGAAGCTGTTTGCCAGCCTCTGCCCTAGATTTATAAATTAAAAGACTTCATCCCCAGAACTTGGGCTTGCATGGTCATCAGTTCTTGTGATTATCCCTTTAGTGTCCCTTTTCCTTTTAATTTCTAGTTCCTAGAAGCCTTCTTTACTTTTTTATAAGCCCAGGTAGGCGTTTAATGGAGTAGGAAATGGTAACCCACTTCAGTATTCTTGCCTGGAAAAATCCCATTGACAGAGGAGCCTGGTGGGCTACAGTCCATGGGGTAGCAAAGAGCTAGGCATGACTGAGCACACACACTAGACATTTAAAGTATGTCTATTTAATTTTGTCTAGGTTTTTTTGGTGGGAATATTTTCATGTACGTAGCCTACCATATTGCCCAAACCAGAAACTCTTCTATTCTCTTTGGATAGTAATACATTCTTCTTTTTGTATTTTCCTGACCATTTAACTTAATCATTTAAAAGTTTTCTGTTTTCTAATGTAATTCTTTAAAACTATGAAAATTTTTATCTACATAGTTCTAAATTGGTAGTTTTTGATGTGCAATGCTCTCCTTGTCATTCTTATTCAACTACTTTGTAATTCCCATGATCATTTATTTTTTAATCCCTTGATAATTTTAAATTGCAATGCTCAGTTTTCAAATATAGTTTTTGGCTGTCTTATTTTTAGTATCTTGTGGGCAAAGATCATGGTCTTTATCATAGCATATTCTTTGAAATTTGTTGAAATTTTCTTTGTCGCCTAATATGTGACTAATTATTTTATATTTTTCATATATGCATGAAAGGAATTTGTAGCTGGGTACGGGGCTATCTCTGTATTTACCATACCAAACTTGTATTTGTACCATTAGGGTCTCTACTTTGTATTTGTCTGCTAGATATATTGGTTTCTAAAGAGTTCTATTTAGAACCTATTATGGTTTATATTGTATATTTTTCTTTGTAATTTTATCAGCTCTATATATTTTGAGGCAATGTTAGTTGAGTGTCAAAATCCATGATCATTATCCTCTTTTGGATTATTTTGTGTGTTAGTATTAAATTTGCTGATATATGAATGTTAGAAATCAGTTTTTTTTTAATTAAATGGCTAACCCAAACCCTTCTGTGAGTTGAACCTAGCTATGTGCTGCTAGTTTTATACCCTAGCAAAATACAGACAAAAGAAAGAGCTTGTTTTTATGGTCTCTCCTGCTGGTCTGTAGTTTTACATTGGGTTTCTACGTAGACATGCCTTGATCATTTGATGACTATGAGTCCTATAATTTAAGTCCACAACAAAAGATGCCATTGTGGATGATGCCTCCAGGTCTTAGAAGATGTCTACCACATGTCACATGTTGTTGTTGTTTAGCAGCTAAGTTCTTTCCCACTCCTTTGTGACCTGTGGACTATAGCCTGCCGGGCTTCTTTGTCCATGGGGTTCTCCAGGCAAGAATACTGGAGTGGGTTGACATTTCCTTCTCCAGGGGATCTTTCCGACCCAGGGATTGAACCCTTGTCTTCTGCTTGGCAGGCAGATTCTTTACCACTGAGCCACCTCAGAAGTTCTAAAAGCCACTATACCCCCTTTCATTTATTTGACGCTGTTTTCCATATTCAATGACATGCTTGCCACTTTGGGTTTAGGGCTGTAGATATTTCCTTGTTTGCATTAAAAATGAAGCTTTTCCTTCATTTTGAAGTTTTTCCTTTTTTAATTTTTTTTTAATTTTTAAAAATTTTAAAAATTTTACATTTATTCTATTTTTTTTAGTCATGCCACGAGGCATGTGGGATCTTAGTTCCCAGACCAGACATAGAACCCGTGGCCCCTGCAGTGGAAGCACAGTGTTCTAACCACCAAACTTCCAGAGAAGTCCCCATTTTTCATTTTTAAAATGTTTTTTAGTCTTGGGGAATTCGGAACAGGGGTAAAGTACAAATAATCCTTGCTTATTATTGTCAGCTAGTAAGACCTCAAAGTTTCTTCTTACTCAAAGCCATTCAGTGATTTTCTTCTCCTGGCAGAGTGTGAAATGCTTTGATGGTACCAAACGCTGAAAAACAAAAGAAGAGTTAATTCAGTGTAATAGCTATTGAGAGACATTGATGCTAATAATACTCATCTTCAGAATCAATGAAAAACATGATTCAGTGGGTAAAGAATCCAAGTGGGCTTTTGGAGAAGCGCTTTTATGGATTTTAATACATAGTCCCTCTCCGCACCCCCATCCCAGCCCGGCGTTTGTCACAGCTGGGAAAATATGAATACACGATGCTCTGTGTTAAGTTTATTCTTTGGTTCTTGAAACTGTTCATTAGAACCTCATCTTATTGTTTCCCTTGTTAAAACCATTTGATAAAATAAGGAAAAATGCTCTTGGAAAAAGTCGATGTTTAAAATGTGGACTGCAGCTAATGTTTCAATCTTCTCTCCCCCTTTGTCCTTCTGTAGTATGACTATGAATACGATGAAAATGGTGACAGAGTCGTTTTAGGAAAAGGCACTTATGGGATAGTTTATGCAGGTCGAGATCTGAGCAACCAAGTCAGAATCGCCATTAAGGAAATCCCAGAGAGAGACAGCAGGTACAGTAATTGTGACTAATCAAAGCTGCTTTCTAAGGTATTTCAGTTGTTAATAGCATTTACAAAATATTTTGGGGATATTCTAATTAATGAAACTCTGTCTGAAAACTCCATGGCTTTAATTAGCTCCCTCTGAGGTTTAGCTGCTGCATCTCACTTAGTGATTCAAGCCCAAGACTGTTGGGGAAGCATGACATCTCCATGGCAACTAGGACTTTCAAAGAGTAGAAAAGGGAATGGCCCTGTGTGTGTTGGGCTCAGGTTATGTTTCATCGTGATTGGTTTATTATATGGATACATGGGGAATAAGCACCAGCTAAAATGGTTTGAACCCGAAGTTCCAGTTTCCGGTCAGGTGTGTTAAGGACATTGGAAGTCAGCACCCCATCCTAAACTGCTGGTGGAAAGTTGGACCAACTGAGAAATCAACGACTCTTCTTGGAGCCATCAGAAAAGTGATGTCACAGGGCAAAACCGCTGTCCCCCAACATTGGAGAGACAGACGTAGGGCCGTCCCATACTCTTGTGAATCTGATCCCCACAAAGACTGTTAGAGAAATCCCTTCCTCAGAGACTGCACAGAGCTCTTGCTCAAGTTGAAATCACATTATGTCATTACTACTTAAAACTATGTAGTTCTTACAACTATGGCTATGAGTTCTTACAACACAGAACCCGGGAACCTTAACACAGACACCCGCCTGCCTCTGTGGCCTCGCCCCCCCCACGGCAGCCACGCTGACCTGTTTTCATCAGGCCCACCAACACCACATATTGGTGGGATCGCCTCGTTGTCATCAACTAGGTCCCAGCTCAGTTCTCAAGCCCTCAGAGATGCCTTCTCTGATTACTGCAAGCTCAAAAAGACACCCCTCTTTCCCCTGTAACCAGGGGGAGTCAGGCCTGTCCCAGGCCTCAGTTCTCTTTCTGCCTTGCACTCCTTAGTCTCTGTCCTTGGTACCTGACTTTCTGATGGGTGGGCACTCTGCCTTCTCTGCATTCCAGACAGGGAGAGGGAAAAGGAAAACGAACTTTCTCAGAAATGTCCAGCCTATTTTCGCCTCTTGTTTCATTGGTCAAAAGTGACCACTCCTGACTACAAAGGAGGTTAGAAACTCAGTAGTTTTTAAGTTGGCTAGTTGTTTCTCTAAACAAAATCACAGAAAGAGGGAGGAACAGATATTAGGCAGGTAGACAGTAAATTCAGTTTTAGGTTTTCAATGGTATTTTTGCAATTTCTCCTTGGTTAACTCATGAGACATAAGTATGAATTCTTCTGGGGTGGTGATAGAAACTATTCACTAGATACATAAGGGACTATGTATATGTGTGTGTGTGCATGTGTGTGTTATATTAAAAATTTCATCAAATATTCCTATAGGTTCTTAAGTATTATACATTGATACATAGAGTGGATTTTTAAGCAATATAAAATTTTAAAGGATCGTCTTTAGCAACATCACCTTCCTCCCCACTACCAGATAAATTTAACTAGTCACTTGGAAGAAAACCACTTTGAAAACTGTCTTTGTAGCTTAAGTTTATTCAGCTGCCACTGTGTATACACAGATTACACCAACACCAGCGAAGATCCGTTTGGCATAATGTGGTTTGTTTGAAAACACTTGCATGACAAGCCCTTCTGTTGAACAGCTGCTGTGGGGCATCTTTTTGTTACCTCTAAGAGAAGATTAAGGTGAAGTCTATCATGTTATTGTGAGATACAACACAGAAAGTATTTCCACCTTTGTGACCTGGAGAGTTTTAAGGTGGCTTTTAAAAAGGTAGCAGTTACAAAGGATAATTGCTCAGATGGTAGGATGGTTGTGAATAATGCATAATCCAGCATACACTAAACACTGCCGTCTGTAGTGAAGGCTCACAGCAACAAAAGCAGCTTCTTCCATTGTTCCCTCACACTCTAAAAACACTTTGTTAGAGCATCAGACTAGTCATAAGAGCAAGCTGCTGGAGTCTAAGGACCCTCTCATAATTTGTCCCATCTAGTTGTACATCTTGAGTTGGCTTCCGCTAACATTCTACCCATTCGTCAACTATTTTCCTAGGTCAGGTATTTCTACCCAGCTGTGTGTTAGAGGAACCTGGGGAACTTTTAAAAAATACTGATGCTCAGGCCAGAACCCCCAAAATTCTGGGGTAGGTCATACACATTGATATTTTTAAAAATCCTTCCAGGAGATGCAGAATGGCCAAGGTTGGGAACTTCACTGCTTTGGCTGGTTGTAGTGGGAATTTGACTCAGGAGGGGTGCTCTGAAGACATGTATGATATATTAATTTTTCAAGGCTAAGTGCATATTTAAGTATCTTTGAATATCTAGACCATTTTTCTTTCTGTTGTCACAGGTAATTGAGAAGAAATGGGATTTTCTTGTAATTCCCACAGACAAGCATTGCTTATTGACCTGAACAAATTATAATTCCATGCTTATTCAGTGCGCGGTACTTACACTTTCACTTACATTTAGTGAGAATTGCTAGGTGTTACTAATCGTTTCCACACTGGAGAAGAGTCCTTATTCTCAGCTAGGATGAATTATATTATTGTAACTTTTGAGCTATCCTTTGGTTACATAAGAAGTGTGTGTTGTATATTTATTTCTTCACGATCTTATGTTTAAACATTTATGATTGATATTTAATAGGTTGTCAGGGGGTCTTTCAATATGGAGGCCCAGCTAGGAGTGAGTAAAAGGTAAATGATAGAGTAGAACTGGATAGAATAGAATCAAGGAGACTTGGCATATAAATGGTTTTATATTTTTTTACTGAAGAGTTGTTGGACCTTTCAGTAGAGTTCTGGAATGAATATTAAAATTATTTGCAATTTTGTCTTCCTGGGAAAGAATCTCCTGAAATAATAAACTTATGAAGCTAATGGAATAGAAGGTTATATGAATGTAACAGTGAGCTGTGTGGGTGATTTCAGTTCTCTTGGGTTCAGATCTTAGTTCTGTTACTTACTAGCTTGGAAATCTTGGATAGGTTAGTTCTGTGAATCAATTTCCTTATCTGTAACATGGGCATCTTAGTAATACCTTCTCATGGAGTTGTTATGTGAAATGAGCTAATATAGACAAAGACCTAGACTAGTATCTGACACAGTTCCCCTCAAACCCTACCAGGGCCCCAGCTTCACAGAATTTATGTGATGAGAAATAAAGGCCTTAGATGGTCATATTTTATTTCACATATGGGTGAATTCATTTAGCTGGAATTTCCCATTTGTATTGCTTAAATTTATACAAGAAAGTCTGACATAATTAGCTCACTGACATTTGCATGCCTTTCAGATACTCCCAGCCCCTGCATGAAGAAATAGCCTTGCATAAGCATCTGAAGCACAAAAATATTGTCCAGTATCTGGGCTCTTTCAGTGAAAATGGTTTCATTAAAATCTTCATGGAGCAGGTCCCAGGAGGTAAGAGATGGTTTAATTTCTTTAAAAAGTATAGGTTTCTACTATATATAAAATTAATAAGCTACAAGGATATATTGCACAACCCAGGGATCATAGCCAATGTTTGATCATAACTATAAATGGAAAATAACCTTTAAAAACTTCAGATGTTATATACCTGAAACATATAATACTGTACATCAACTATACCTCAATAAAATAATAAATAAAGTTTAGTAAAATCTCAAAAAAAAAAAAACTAACTTTTTAAAAAAGTATGTTTCTACGGTCTTGAAGAGTAAAACAACAGAATTTACTAGTTTACAGGTCTTAATTTGTGTAAATGTAAATAAAATCTTGACATATGCCATCACCTTACAGTTTAGTGAAAGTGAAAGCTGCTCAGTCGTGTCTGTCTCTTTGTGATCTCATGGACTACAGAGTCCATGGAATTCTCTAGGAGAGAATACTGGAATGGGTAGCCTTTCCCTTCTCCAGGAGATCATCTCAACCCAGGGATCAAACCCAGATGGAGTCTTTACCAACTGAGTTATCAGGAAAGCCCCTCCAATTTATTGGGAGATAATAAATAAATATCAGAACTGTTCTTGTATCAATCATTATGTCTTGGATTAAGGTTTACAAACTGAGTGGTCTTTTGTGTGTGTTTGCTAAGCTGCTTCCGTTGTGTCCAACTTGCCACTCTATGGACTATATAGCCTGCCAGCCCCCGCTGTCCATGGGATTCTCTAGGCAAGAATACTGGTGTCAGTTGCCATTCCCTTCTCCAGGGGATCTTCCCAACCCAGGGATCAAACCTGCATTTCCTGCACTGAAGTCAGATTCTTTACCCACTGAGCCACCTGGCAAGCCCCGAGTGGTCCTTTCGACCGTATTTGATTAAAGACCATCAACAGAGCAGGGACTTTCCTATTTATATTTGAACCCAAGTACTGTGTCTAGTATATTACCTGGGCCACTGTTAATAACCAACAAATGTTAGCTTAATGTTGTAATACTAACATGCTTTAAAGAATTCATTCAAATAAGATTTTATCCACTGTTTCTCCCTACTTACAGGAAGTCTTTCTGCTCTCCTTCGTTCCAAATGGGGCCCACTGAAAGACAATGAGCAAACAATTGGCTTTTATACAAAGCAAATACTGGAAGGATTAAAATACCTCCATGACAATCAAATAGTTCACCGGGATATAAAGGTAGGTTGCACTAGGATTCATTCTTGTAAGGTCTTTGATGGGTAATTGTTTTATGTGCAAAAATTGTTTTTCTTATGAGAACTAATTTGGAATGATAAGTAAATCATAGAAACAGCAGACATATATCACTCTGCCCTGAGTCAGTTATTGATAGTCCCGTCTTATCGCTTTTACTCAAGGAATAAACTCCTTAACCATGTTCAGCCAACAAAGATTGAGTTTCCACTTCATGGCTGGTACTGTTTGAGGTGCGCCATGGGGCTGGAAGCTCAACAGAGCAAAGTTAACAAGGATATGGTCTCTGCTCCCAAGAGGCTTGTAGGCTGGTTAATCTTTGTATCCTTGCCCGTAGTAGCTACTCAATAAATGCTTGTTCAATTAATGGATGAATAGTTAGAAGGAAAAAAGTAAAATCCCCACTTCTCACACATATCATATACTCCTGGGGTGAACTAAAATTAGATAATCTGTGAAATTCTCCTTAAAAAGGGAAAATTTAGAACTAATAAATTTATAACAAAATTGGACTGTTGAAAGTAAGTTAATATTACTACCCTAAAACTAACATGAATGTCCATTTATTTGTGCTGCCCCTAAATATTCCAGGAAAAGAAGTAAAACAACATAGAATAAGTCAAATACTAGGAAGGTATAAATATCATAATTTAACTAATCATACTCATATCAAACACAAATAGCCCTACTATCTATAAACCTTGTTTCATCTTGTGACCTGAGTAGCAGATTGTGAACTGATAGTATGTAAACAAAAATGGTGTCAATAATTCACTACTGACGTTACTGTTAAGGAAGACTATAGATAGTATCCTTTTTGCTATAAGGACACTTTTTCTTATTAGACTTTCAAGCCAATAACAAACAGTACTGGGAGAAAGATAACATTTCTGATTGAAGTTCTTTCTTCTCTAGGGTGACAATGTGTTGATTAATACCTATAGTGGTGTTCTCAAGATTTCTGATTTCGGAACATCAAAGAGGCTTGCTGGCATAAATCCATGTACTGAAACTTTTACTGGTATGTTTTTGCAGTGATGATACAGATCTTATGTAATTAAAGAAATAATTGCTGTGTTTGAGCATGATGTGAGAGAGAAATTTAGTCTGGGTTCTTACCAACATTCATGTTGATATCTTTTGATGCTCACTGAAAAATGCTATACAGAATTTCATCTGACCATTTCTTACCTTGTATTTATATAACTCACTCAGTCTCCTGCTTAATACTGCTGATATTAATAACTTAATAACTCTCAATTTGATATTTGTTTTTCTTTTCATGTCATTACTTCTCTCCTGGTTGGTCTACAACCACTATAATCCTGACAACATTTCTTTTTTTAACATTTCTTTAGCCCAGCCTCTCAGTGATTCTTACTCATACTTTAATCACTTCCCATTTGGACTACAAATTCTTTCTTTCCTAATCTGTTTACTGCCTGTGGTCTATTCCCCTACTCACAACCTAAATAACTAAGATTTCAATTCAAAAAAAGGAAGTGACTCACTAACTCAGAAGTAGGGTGGAGAGAAAGCTTTGCTGAGAAATTAGGCAATGCAGCTACTAAGCTCCCTCTGGACCAAAATCTTGAGAGGGTGGAGACAACGTGACTTCCACAAAGGTAACAGTAGCCAAGAGGAAACCAAGGCTCAGAGAGATTAATGACTGCCCAACAGTTATAGGGAGGACACCTGGAAGTCCAGCCCTGCTCTCCCCTCCAAGTTTTCATCATCCACTCTGCTGAGTCTCATGAAGTGTTAAGTTCCTGTTATTGTGACTTCCCTGGTGGTCCCTGGTGGTAAACAATGCACCTGCAATGCAGGAGCCTGCTTAATACTTAAAACCCACTTAAAGTAGGTTAATACTTAATACCTAAAACCCATTTAAAGTGGGTTTGATCCCTGGGCCAGGAAGATCCCCTGGAGGAGGGCATGGCCACCCACCCCAGTATTCTTGCTGCAATGCAGGAGCCTGCTTAATACTTAAAACCCACTTAAAGTGGGTTAATACATAATACTTAAAAGCCACTTAAAGTGGGTTCGATCCCTGGGCCAGGAAGATCCCCTGGAGGAGGGCATGGCCACCCACCCCAGTATTCTTGCTGGAGAATCCTGAGGACAGAGAAGCCTGGCAGGTTGCGGTCCATGTGGTTGCATGACCAAAGTGACAGCACATGCACGCTGGTGTCCAGCAGGTAAGACTCGGTGCTCTCACTGCCTCAGCTCGGGCTCAATCTCTGGTCAGGGAACTAAAATCCCACAAGTCTTGCAGTGCAGCAAAACATAATAATGGTAAAAATTAAATTCTTATTATCATCAGAGAGATTTAGAAAAAAAAAAAGATACTGTAATGGATAATCTTTAGTCCAATATAAAACAGATTGTCCAAATGCCCTCATTTCTGATTTCTGTGACATGATGGCAGTACTTCCATTTTGCAAATGAAGAAATTGAGAGAGAGAGAAGGGACATCACAGCTGAAAGTCACAAGAGTTTATAAATGATAGAACTGATTTTTAATCCACCCTTTGCACTTTGCTTTGAGCTTCTTGCTCCAGTCCATCTTTCTCTCCACCTTCCTGAAGTGTCTCTAGTGGCATCCTGGAAAGGGGAAAGGCAGAGAGAGAGATAGTCTGAAGTCTCAGAACATTCAATCAGCAATGTCTCTGATCCAATTCCTACTCTCACGGCAGTGGGTATTTCGGGACACAATCAAACCCATTTAGAATGCATTTTTTAAACAAAATGAATTCCGGCCTTCTAGTAACTTTAAATATACTTACATTTCTTTTCCCCATACTCCCTCCATTTGGCAGGAGACCCTTTAAATACTGCCAAGTCTCAGGAACTTCTGCGAGGAAAATCCTGACTTTCAGACACTTGATCTGGGGAAGATGTCACTTTACTATCTGCTGCTTATCTTTAAACGTTTTCTTTACTCCCCAGAGAGGCTCTAGTCAAGCAGTCCTCCAGAAGCCCTTTGCTCGGACTTCTCACACTGGCCTCACGTGGTGTGCCGTACGTGACACACGCGTGGGTCTGTCACCAGCACTGATCGTGGGGGCCTGGGGCGTGCGGACCTCCTGGCGCTAACTCAGCGCTGGTCATGTCACGGGTGCAGGCAGCCTCTGATGAGCTGAGTCAAAAGACAGTGGCCTGTGTGACTTCTTCGTGATTTGATGAGAGGGAAGGCAGCCACAACTGTTCTTTATGGAGCACTTATTGCATCCAGATTGTGTTAAGTGCTTTACATGTTATTGCATCGAAATTCGTACATCAAGCCTTAATCCTTACATATCATTACCCCAGTTTATGGTGAGAAAATTAAGGTTCAAAGAGGTTAAGTAGTTTGCCTGAGGTCACAAAGCTAGTAAGTCAAAGAGCTGCAATTCAGCTAGACTTAACACGCCAAATGGAATGAATTAGCTTTTCCCCAAACCTGTTCCACCCACACTCTTCTCTGTCTTGTTTGGCCATTCCAACCTTAGAGTTATCCACTGCGCCTCTCTTTTCTCACACTTCAGCTCAGTCAGCCAAGGAAACCTATCGACTCTGTCTTCAAAACGTGTCCAAATCTGGACCGGTTCCTCTCTCTCTCCCTGGCTCCTGCCCTCGCCTCTCACAATAGTGATCTCAATAGCCTTTTTTCCTGCTTCCACTACTGTCTCCCCTCAGCTCTCCAGCCAGAGCAATCCCGTATAGACATAAATCGAGCCCTATCACTCAGAGACTTCCATGGCTTTCTGTTTTTGGAGTCAACAAACACCACAGTCCTTAAAATGATGGACAAGGCTCAGACCTTCTCAGAGTCTGTCACCTTTTAGTCTGTTACCCTTCCCACCTTGCACAGGCCTTCCTGCCCTTCCTTCATTCCACCAGGCGGGATCCTGCTGCAGGGTATTTGCACACCCTTTTCCTTCTATGGCACTCTTCTCCCAGCTATCTGCATGGCGAAATCCCTCGCGTTCTTCAAATCTTAACTCACAGGTCATGCCAGTGAGGCCTGTGATTGCCCTTTTTACATGGCACCCCTCCCCAGGCACTTCTGATCCCCTTCTCCGGCCTTTTTCTTATTTTATCCTAACACATCACTTTCTAACATACTCTGTCATGTACTTATGTGTTTTACTATAGTTTGTTGTCTGTCTTCCACCGCAAAAATGTAAGCTGCACAAGCCCTGGGATTTCTTCCTGTTTTGGCCACTCCTTCATTCTCAGTGCCTGGCCCATAGAACCGCGCTGCGCTCAGCTGCTCCGTCTTTTCCGGCTCTTTGTGACCGCATGGACTGTAGCCTGCTAGGCTCCTCTGTCCATGGAATTCTCCAGGCAAGGATACTGGAGTGGGTTGCCATTTCCTTCTCCAGGGGCTCTTCCCAACCCAGCGATCAAACCTGCGTCTCCTGCACTGGCAGGCGGGTTCTTTACCACTGAGCCACCTGGTAAGCCCTTCGGTCAGTATTAAGCCACTAAATGCACGCTGCTGCTGCTGCTGCTAAGTCGCCTCAGTCGTGTCCGACTCTGTGCGACCCCATAGACGGCAGCCCACCAGGCTCCCCCGTCCCTGGGATTCTCCAGGCAAGAACACTCGAGTGGGCTGCCATTTCCTTCGCCACCTAAATGCATGGGTGAATGTGATGTGACATCAAGGTTTAAGCTTTTAGCTACTATCTTGCAGTGGCTCCCCAGGTGGTTGTAGTGGTAAAGATATTCTAAAATAGGTGATTTTAAAGTAATTTGTTGGCCTCCAGACTTCTCTGGGGCCAGCAGCCGCCCAAGCAGGGACCCGGGGCCGCGGGCTCAGCCAACTACCATGGGCGCTGTGTCAAACCAGCAGTTTGCAGGTGGCTGCGCCAAGGCGCCGGAGGAGGCGCTGGAGGACGCGGCCCGCGCGGCGCCCAGCGCCGGCATCTGTAAGTGGTTCCACGTTCGCATGGGGTCGGCTTCCAGTCCACGACCGCCCGCGCAGGGGTCACACTCGACCCCCCGGTGGATGTCTTTGTGCACCAGAGTAAGCTGCACATGGAGGGCTTCCGGAGCCTGAAGGAGGGTGAGGCTGTGGAGTTCACCTTTAAGAAGTCTGCCGAGGGCCTGGAATCTTATCAGTTACCGGCCCTGGTGGGGTGTTCTGTATTGGGAGTGAAAGGCGGCCCAAAGGGAAGAAGAAACAGAAACGCAGATCAGAGGGAGACAGGTGCTACAACTGTGGAGGTCTAGACCATCATGCCAAGGAATGCAAACTGCCACCCAGCCCAAGAAGCGCCACTTCTGCCAGCATCAACCATGTGGCAGCCTCGTGCCCACTGAAGGCCCAGCAAGCTCCCAGCCCCCAGGGAAAGCCAGCCTACTTTCTGGAGGAGGAGGAAGAGAACCATAGCTCTGCCATGCTCCCAGAGGCCCAGAATTGAGCCAAAGTGGGTGGGGGCTATCCTTATTGATCAGAAAGCTTTGAGGAGCAGGCATCAATCGGCAGAGTGGAGAAAGTGGGGACAGGGTGGGCAGGGGGCAGCTGGCACTGCCATATATCTGAGGCTGGAGTCCACAGCATCACCCCCTCTTCCCTCTTGGTGGGAAGAAGGGGTGAGGCAAAGAAACTCCAATTAGCTCTTTCCAGATGCATGTGAGGGCTTTGGGGGTTAACCCTCCCTGCATGCTTTATATGAGTCTCCACCCCCAGAATCTCCAGCTTTTGAAAGTGGCCTGGTCAGGGAAGTTGTTTTGCTCTTAAAGAAGAATATGGAATAATATTTCCCATATCAGAGTGTAAAGATTAAGAAGAACAGATTGATGGACCCAACCAACAAGCCACCACATTCCATGGGAGGAAACATCTCGAGGGTGGGGGGGTGGCAGGGTTTTCCTCTTCTCTTCTCATAACCCCCTCTTGGGACAGAATGCTAAGAACTGTCCCAAGTAATGGATTATGATGACAGATAAAGGGGTGATCGAGGGAACAGCTGCAGACTTGCTGCTTACAAGCTCACTCTCACCCCATCCTGGGCCAACTCAATTTTATTTATTTGCTGCCTTGGGTGACTGTACCTTGGGTCCCACTTTCTCCAGGATGCCAACTGTACTAGCTGTGTGCGAATGATGTATCTTGTGCATTTTAACTTTTTTTTTCATGAATATAAATATTCTGGTTTTGTAAAAAAAATTTTTAAAAAGTAATTTGTTTATTCTAATGAAGGTATTTGAGGTATGGGTTTTAGAGTTAATACTCTCACTTGTTCTCCTTGGGTTAATGTTCAGACTGGTTTGATCTTCACTATCCAGCTCTGTAAATCTCTTTATATAAAATACTGTGTCGTGTGCTTGTGGAGTAAATAGAGCAGATATGAACACACGATTAAATGTGCTTTTTTGGTACTTGATCTATGGGGGATAATTAAACACAATTGTCAAATATCACTCTTTGAAGTATTATCTAATGAATCAAAACACTAATTTATTGTTATTACTTGAATTATCCAATTTTTAAAATTCATTATATTTTTGGTCAGTTGTCATTCCTGCTGAGATATTAATACAACTTAAATTCTTCCATTAAATCCATTTTAGGTCCACAGATAATAAAAGAGTGGTAGGCTTCAGCTCATATTTTCTCAATGATCACTTGATTTTGTTTACTTTGTAAAAAATGATCACTTTGGAGGAAACTGTCAATGAAGAGAAATTGTAACAGTTTTCTACTAAGGGTAATAATTTGAGGAGCATGGTTACCTTATCCTTCACCAGGTGAAATGCTTTCTTTAAAAAATATGACTGATTTAAGCTGAGAACAGACAGGTGAAGTTGTATGTGACCACAAACATGAGCCACTCACATGTAATGATGAGATCTCAAAGATAAACCTGGTAAGATGACAAAACTTGACAAAAATAATATACTTTCACTTTAAAAAAATTACAGCCAGTTTCTAGCCTTTAATCATGGGTTTTATAGGAACTGTTTAGGGGAAATTTGTGTAGCAGTTTTCACCTATAAATTAAGCACAGAGCATTTGTAGAAAGTGTTCCTTGTATTTATCAAAATGTCTCTTATTGTTTATGAATAAGAAAATGCTCAAGTGGCTCTTTTGGCAAATGCTTCAGTATTTGAAATAATTTATTATGGCATCTTGGATCCTGTTTGCTGATTACATCATTATGAGTATATCAGAAGCTGGGGACATGGCAATTATCTGTTCCTATTTGTACTCCTGACTAATTGCCGGATTTTGAGAAATCACTCCAAACTAGATATATAAATTTGGCCTCTAGTTGTAGCCAATAAGACAGTTGCAAGTTAGTGTCCACTTGGGAAGTACCAGACCAGAACTAAAACCAGGGGTTCTCGGCCCCCATGTGGTGCTCTTTGCATCATACCATGCTTCTCAACTCCTTGATTCCATGAAGCCTTTTAAATTTCCTCTCTTTTTCATTCTGCTCTTCTTCACTCCAGTTATTTGTTTATACTAATGGCTCATGACTCGACTTTAACCCATTAAATCTATTATTCTGTGGACCACAGGCTCATAGCAGAAGCCATGTATGTTAGATTAACAGAGTAAAGTACAACCAAAATTATTTACATTATTTTAAACAATGGCGTTCAGAAATCTTCATGTTTTCATGTTTAAGAAATAAACATGAAAACAGAACTGAGCATTCAATTAGGAATTGAGAAATAACAGACTAAGGAAATGGATGAATGACCCAGATTTTTTCTGCAAAAGATTGGAAGTATATGTAAAGGGAATATCCATGTATTTGAAAAACTGATCGCAGAAAATGTGTGTTGACGTATTTTCTGTTATTCTCAAATGACTATTAGAAGTTTTGAAGAGGTCCCAGTGAAATGATGCCTCAATTACACTCTGCTGTCTAGGAAATGAGGAAGTATCTATTCATAAACAGATAATATTAGTAAGATATATTTATATCACTAGTGAAATCCATTATGACAACTACTATTTCCCCTTTTATTAGCAGCAGAGAAAACTGGGACTTAAAGAAGATGAGATACTAAAACCTGAATCATGCTTTTAAATTGTCTTATTTATGTAAATAACCTGAAACTGTCGTTAGTGCATCTGTTTTCTCTTTTTAAACTCTAACTGTGTTTGAATTCTATCCAGGTACCCTCCAGTATATGGCACCAGAAATAATAGATAAAGGACCAAGAGGCTATGGGAAGGCAGCAGACATTTGGTCTCTGGGCTGCACGATCATTGAAATGGCCACTGGAAAACCACCCTTTTATGAACTGGGGGAACCACAAGCAGCTATGTTCAAGGTCATATTTCCTATCTTAAATGTCCTAAAAATCAGTGGTTAAAGCTCTTTACGGCTCTTGGAGTTCCATGTGTGTATGTCATATTTTTTTAAGCAAAAGGAAAGGAGCCTGAGCTAGCACAATGTAAGATCTAAAGTTCAAGTTTCACTCCCCTCGGTCAGCCTCACGTGGAGGGTCTCTCTCCACATTTGTTTTCTCAGCTACCAAGTGAGACTCAGTGTAAGGCCTTCTGACCACCTTTTCACGATGCAGTATAAATAACACACCACTCCACGGAAGATGATTTAAGCCCTTTGGGAAACACAGTCTGAAAAATCTTCCACTGAGGGACATATGAGAACACTTTTTATCCATTTAGGTATTAAAGACATGTTTTCCCTTTCTCCTCTATCATTGTAGTTTGAAGTTTCCATAGATAAAAGGGCATAGTTGTTTTAAGTACATCAGCCTTAGTCTCATCTATCTACTCTTCCAGCCTGTTACTTTGCCCATTAGTAACTTTTGGGGAGGCTGGGAAAGGAAGCAGCTCCAGCTCTCAAAGTAGGGAGCATGTGAAATGGAAGTAGACCTGAGAGAGCCTGCGGGGCACAGCTTCAGCATCTGGGGCCTGGACAGTGACCAGCCTCTGAATCCCTGCAGTCCTTTCCTGCCCCTCTACTGAGCCGGAGGGATATTAAACTGAACCCCTGTCTCCCAGGAAGTGAAGCTCACATCTCTGCTATTCTCCGAGGCATCAGACTTTTGATTGTAATTTATTGTTCCTTTCCCTGCCCCTGACCATATTTCTAGCACTTACTCCATTTGTGAATGGCCTCTCTTATGAGGGACCATGTGTCATGTCCCTGCTATGTCTGGACCAAACTTGGTTTACCTGAAGCTTGGAGACAAGCTGATGGGCTGTTGCTGATACAGAAATGAGTAGTGTAACCACACCTGAAAAAAACAATGAGAGCTTCTCAGAGATCTGACTTTCTGGGCATGAATGGATGTCTTTTTCTTCTTGGCCAGGCTTTCAAGTTCTTACCAATCTCTGGGAGTTCGCTCTGAAATGTTCCTCTGTTACACATCGGTGCGGGGATTATTAAGCAACATGCTTTAGAGGAGATAGCATGCTCTGGCACTGACTTGCAACGTTTTAATCCAGGCTCCAACACAGTCAAGCTATTTACGGGCTTTGAGTAAATTACTTAACCTTCTTGTTCATTGGTTTCCTCATCTCTAAAATGGGTAGAAAAATAGTACCTATCTAATGAAGGTTTTTGAGGAGTGAATGAGATAATATGTGAAAAGCACTTAAAACAATGTCTGATACATAGTAAAGGCTTTATAATTAGTACAGATGTATCTTATCTATATAATAAGTTAATGTAAGCTATTTAATAACAAAACATTTCCTTAGGAAATTTTCTCTGTACTAAATACATGAAACATTGCTGAAAGACATTAGAATGACAGCAATGAGAAAAACGTTCTCATTGTTATAAAAATACTGTTTGTTTAATTTTAAGTATTTTTAAATATCTCTTTTAAGGTAGGCAATTTGAGACAGGGGAAAACATTCACAAATCATGGCACAGGAGAAACAACACAGTCTTTAAGCCAAACAAATGAAGGTTCAAAATCCCAGCTCTGCCCTTTCATAAGCATGTAACCTCACCCCTGTGAGCCTCATTTTTCTCATTGCTGTAACTGGGATCATATTTAATCCACTGGGTTGCTAGGAGGATTCGATGAGATCTCATAAATGAAAAAAAACAAGCACGAAGCTCTGAGGACTGAATTATTATTTCATAGCGCTGTCTACTGGAGAAGGCAATGGCACCCCACTCCAGTCCTCTTGCCTGGAAAATCCCATGGACGGAGGAGCCTTGTAGGCTGCAGTCCACGCGGCCGCAAAGAGTCGGACACGACTGAGTGACTTCACTTTCACTTTTCACTTTCATGCATTGCAGAAGGAAATGGCAACCCACTCCAGTGTTCTTGCCTGGAGAATCCCAGGGACGGGGGAGCCTGGTGGGCTGCCGTCTATGGGGTCGCACAGAGTCGGACACGACTGAAGCGACTTAGCAGCAGCAGCAGCAGCGCTGTCTACTATCTTAAGCTAATTACTGTGCCTGTGTCATTGATAAAGTTACAAAAACACTGAAAACTTCCCATAACCTACAGAGAACAGGTTCTGTCTCACTTTGAAAAAAAGCCACACGTTTGTAGCTTTTGATGAAGGAGCTTGTCTCATTAGGGGACCGAGGTATGGGATGAGATGGTTATTCAGAAGCCATTTGTCCTGTGTCTTAGGTGGGGATGTTTAAAGTCCACCCAGAGATCCCAGAGTCCATGTCAGCAGGGGCCAAGGCGTTCATATTGAAGTGTTTCGAACCAGACCCTGACAAGAGAGACTGTGCTAATGACTTGCTTATGGATGAGTTCTTAAAAGTTTCCAGCAAAAAGAAAAAGACACAACCTAAGCTTTCAGGTATGTGGTTGCATCAAAGGGGGTGTAGGTCAGAGTCTCTAAACACTAAACTTTTAAGATGGAAGATTTTTCCAGAGGTGAGCTAATTTGTTTAAAGGTGTCACTGAATACTGGCATCTCGAAGCTGTTAGCATGAAATTCACAAATGCTAGGGCCTCACACATAATGATCTTCCAGCACATGGATAGTAGGGGGTTAGTATATCAGCGTCTATATATTAGCATTGCTGATACAAAGATCAAAGGACAGAAGGGGTAGAAGGTAGTTTTTTCAAACTGAAACTCCAAATTACCATTGACTGACTACAGAGTTATTAGAGGACTGTTAAGCTTCCAAACCATCCGGATAATATGTTCTTTTAATTTTAGATTGTCCAAAACACCAATTGCCTTTTAGAGACTTACCATTCCAAATAATTAACGCCCCCACCGCCAAAAAAAAAAGAAAAAAAAAGAGAAGATTTCCAGTTATAATAAAATAGCACTGTAAAAATATAAATTGGCTTTTTGCAATAATTTCCATAACTCATTCAGAAAGGGAAAAAGTAAGTGATTCACTTGTTGTTAACATTTTTGGTGTCTATGTGGGATGAGATGGGCAGAATGAATGTTTGGAAAGGACATCAATCCCATTTCCAGCATTCACTTCACTTTTTGTTGATTTCTCAGTTTAATAACAAACCAAATGCATGCTTATTTTGCTGTGTTTACTTTTCTTTCCACAGCTCTTTCAGCTGGATCAAATGGTAAGTTTATTTTTATGTTGTCCTTTGGGCTGAAGCTTGGTACATTATGAAATAAGCTCTAGATTTCTTATCGGAGAGCCTCATCCTCTGCTCTTTGCTTACATGGGGGGAGGGTAGGGGGCTCCTGGGTACAAAGGATGTGTAGTTGCAAGCTTGGCTGGGTTCATTCTTTCAGAAACCCCTCAACTTTCCCTGTCATAAGACAGGCTTCTTTTGATCCTTCCTAAATGCACGATGGTGACTCTGTTTTTGAAATCTTCAATGTGAGAGGAGACCATGCTTTCTTAGGGGCTCCCCAGGTGGTGCTGGTGGTAAAGAACCCCCTGCCAATGCAAGAGACGAAGGAGACGTGGGTTCCATCCCTGAGTCGGGAAGATCCCCTGGAGGAGGGCATGGCAACCCACTCCAGTATTCTTGCCTAGAGAATCCCATACACAGAGGAGCCTGGGGGGCTACAGTCCATAAGGTTGCAAACAGTTGGACACAACTGAAGCAACTTAGCATGCACACATGCTTTCTTATCTGAGAGCTAGCTGGCCACCTAACTCATTTCTTGGGGAAAATTTCCGTGTTGGACACCTTTCCCTGTCATCTTTGGTGTCCTATTTTCCTCTGACTTTAGCTGGTCAGGACTAGATGTGGTTTTGATTTTCAGTATTAGGCTTTGCAGATTATAACTAGGAAGGTTAATCTGCTCTAGGAAGATCAAGTGATGCATTTCAAAGCATAGGAAAGAAATGACCATGATTTGGGATTTTCCTAAGTTGGATGAGTTGTTGATCAAATAGACATGGGGCTCAGTGTTCATTGTGAGCATCCTGTGAGTTCTTCCACTGGCTGGGGGTAGATTTTTGCAGGTTCCTTATGTGCCTCAAAGTCAGTCAGCCCAAAGAAGAAGCCCAGTAATCAGGGTTTCTTGACCACAGCCTCTCCAGTTTTCCCCCCTCAATTCTTAGAGTCAAGAAGAACTCTGTGAAGAGGAGCCCTTCTTTTCCTCCCTTCTCCACAGTCACTGCCTTTCACAAGGAGGACCCCGGGGCACTCAGCAGCCTCCCCGGCAGCTGGGTTTTGATGTCATAAAATAGGCCCTGACTTTGGACTCCAGCAGAAGTCGATTCACTTTGCACTTAGGTGGAAGCCAATTCTGATCCCAACTGAGCCACTCTCTAAAAGCATGACAACGCAGCAATTTACTTGTTTCATCAGGCATTCTGTGCTGGGAACAATACCTACTGCACAGATTTGCTTCTGAGAACAAAATAAAAAATATATACCAAAAGAAGCTGGAGCCATGCCCAGAAGCTCAATCCATGATTGCTTCATCCCTTCCACATGGGTAGGTTTTTGTTGCAGGAAGCAGAGTCTCATCACGCGCACATTTAAATTCTGTGAACTCAACTATACACGCTTGGCAAGAGACAACTATCGAGAGGGAATGTAAGCTGACAGTGCTGCCCACAAGCCCTCTCGGTGAGCATGTGCCTTAGAGCGAGCCTGAGGTGGAAGGTGTCCATCTGCTGACCGCTCGGTCACCTTTCCCACACACCCTCCCCACTCTGCACTCAGGGTGACTCAAGAGCATCTGGGACTCAACTCTGGCTTTAGAGTCTTTTACTTAAGGTATTTTAGAATCTTACGATTTTGTAGAGTCAGCATTAAGAGAATGGGCATTGGAGTCAGAGCTGGGTTCATGCCTTAACTGGGTGACCCTGGAAATGACTTACCCTTAGTCACCTCATCTGTCCAGTGAGTTCAGTTAGACAAACTGCCCATGGGGCTTTGTGACAATTAAAATACAGTCACACATGTGAGATGCTTAGCAACTGCCTAAGGTGGTTATTATGACTTACTGTGGGGCTTTTCTTGCTCTGGCCTGCCCATGCCCAGTGGCTTGTTTAGTATTGTAGACCACAGTCCAGAAGTCCCCTATTCTTTCCCTAAAAACTCCCTACCTTCCTCGCTCAGAACATCTCCCAGGCCTCCTCAGTTGTCTGGATCTTTTTTATTTCACAGTAACTCATCCGTTTCTGTTCTGCCTCCTTGGCCTGAAACATTGATCTGCTTGATAGAGATGTTTCTGACAAAATTACTTATTTTCAAACCAGTAGTTGATGAGAACTAGGCACCTCCTATTGTGTCAGTTCAGACTCCATCAAAATAAAATAAAAGCTTATGTTTGTTATAGAATTATAACTTCTGAGAACTGGGAAAGGCCTAAGAGTTCATCTGCTCTATTGGTTTCCAAAATATGTGTTTAGCAAAGAACTGCTTTTTAAAAAATTATGAATTCTTAAGCAGAGCTTAAAGTAACAAATAGATTCAAGGGATTAGATGTGATAGAGTGCCTGAAGAACTATGGACGGAGGTTCATGACATTGTACAGGAGGCAGTGATCGAGACCATCCCCAAGAAAAAGAAATGTAAAAAGGCAGAATGGTTGTCTGAGCAGGCCTTACAAATAGCTGAGAAAAGAAGAGAAGCTAAAGGCAAAGGAGAAAAGGAAAGATATATCCATTTGAATGCATAGTTCCAAAGACTAGCAAGGAGAGATAAGAAAGCCTTCCTCAGTGATTACTGCAAAGACATAGAGGAAAACAATAGAATGGGAAAGACTAGAGAGCTCTTCAAGAAAATTAGAGATACCAAGGGAAAATTTCATGCAAAGATGGGCACAATAAAGGACAGAAATGGTATGGACCTAACAGAAGCAGAAGATATTAAGAAGAGTTGGCAAGAATACACAGAAGAACTGCACAAAAAAGATCTTCATGACACAGATAACCATGATGGTGTGATCACTCACTTAGAGCCAGATATCCTGGAATGTGAAATCAAGTGGGCCTTAGAAAGCATCACTACGAACAAAGCCAGTGGAGGTGATGGAATTCCAGTTGAGCTATTTCAAATCCTAAAAGATGACCCTGTGAAAGTGCTGCAATATGCCAGCAAATTTGAAAAACTCAGCAGTGGCCACAGGACTGGAAAAGGTCAGTTTTCATTCCAATCCCAAAGAAAGGCAATGCCAAAGAATATTCAAACTACTGCACAATTTCACTCATCTCACATGCTAGCAAAGTAATGCTAAAAATTCTCCAAGCCAGGCTTTAACAGTACATGAATTATGAACTTCCAGATGTTGAAGCTGGATTTAGAAAAGGCAGAGGAACCAGAGATAAATTTGCCAACAACCACTGGATCATCAAAATAGGAAGAGAGTTCCAGAAAAACATCTGCTTTATTGACTACGCCAAAGCCTTTGACTATGTGGATCACAACAAACTGGAAAATTCTGAAAGAGACGGGAATACCAGATCACCTGACCTGCCTCCTGGAAAACCTGTATCCAGGTCAAGAAACAACAGTTAGAACCAGACATGGACCAACGGACTGGTTACAAACCAGGAAAGAAGTACGTCAAGGCTGTATATTGTCACCCTGCTTATTTAACTTATATGCAGAGTACATCATGCAGTACTTTTTTCCAGTAGTCATGTATGGATATGAGAATTGGACTATAAAGAAAGCTGAGTACTGAAGAATTGATGTCTTTGAACAGTGGTGTTGAAGAAGACTCTTGAGAGTTCTTTGAACTGCAAGGAGATACAACCAGTCAACCCTTAAGGAAATCAGTCCTGAATATTCATTGGAAGGACTAATGCTGAAGCTGAAACTCCAATACTTTGGCCACCTGACTCGAAGAACTGACTCACTGGAAAACACCCTAATGCTGGGAAAGGTTGAAGATGGGAGGAGAAGGGGACAACAGAGGATGAGATGGTTGGATGCCATCACCGACTTGATGGACATGAGTTTGAGTAAGCTCCAGGAGTTGGTGATGGACAGGGAAGCCTGGTGTGCTGCAGTCCATGGGGTCTCAAAGAGTCAGACAGGACTGAGCAACTGAACTGAACTGAATTCCTAATGTTAGCAAATTGGACTGCAAGGAGATCAAACCAGTCAATCCTAAAAGAAATGAGTCCTGAATATTCACTGGAAGGACTGATGCTGAAGCTGAAGCTCCAATATTTGACCACTTGATGTGAAGAACTGACTCATTGGAAAAGACCCTGATGGAAAGATTGAAGGCAGGGGGAAAAGGGGACAACAGAGGATAAGATGGTTGGGGGGCATCACTGACTCACTGGACATGAGTTTGAGCAAGCTCTGGGAGTTGGTGATGGAAAGGGAGGCCTTGTGTGCTACAGTCCATGGGGTCTGACTCAGTTGTACATGACTGAGTGACTGAACTGAACTGAAGCAGGGCTCTGATATATGACTGAAGGAGCATAGTTGTTTTAGGTAAAACAGTGTTGGAACCTGTGTTCTAGGATCACAGAAATCTACCCACTCACCCCATCCAAGGCAGCCCCGAGAAACAGGTGGACCTTAAACTTCTAAGGAGCACAGTTTATCAGTTATGAATCTGGTCCTTTATTTTATACATGTGAAAAACTAAGACTTACAAATGACCTTCCTAAATTCTAGTGGGTATGTGTGTACTGTCATGTTCAACTCTTTAGACTGTAGCCAGCCAGACTCCTCTGTCCCTGGGGTTCTTCAGGCAAGAATACTGTAGTGGGTTTCCATGCCCACCTCCAAGGGGATCTTCCCCACCCCGGGATCGAACCCGCATCTCTTGCATGTCCTGTATTGGCAAGCAGATCATTTAGCACTGCACCACCTCGGAAGCTCCTGAAGTCTAATAGGTGGACAATAAAAACAAATGTTCTGAGAGAACAGCATTGAAACAAGTATACTATCAAGGGTGAAACAGATCACCAGCCCAGGTTGGATGCATGAGACAAGTGCTCAGGGCTGGTGCACTGGGAAGACCCAGAGGGAAGGGATGGGGAGGGAGGTGGGAGTGGGGATCGGGATGGGGAACACATGTAAATCCATGGCTGATTCATGTCAATGTATGGCAAAAACCACTACAATATTGTAAAGTAATTAGCCTCCAACTAATAAAAAATAAATGGGGAAAAAAAAGTTTTCATGCAGCAAGTAAAGATCCCATTTGCTGCAACTAAGACCCCAAACAGTCAAATACATAAATAAATATCTTAAAAAAAAAAAGGGGGGGCTGAGAACCCAGACCTGCTGGGCCGGGTGCCTCCTCCAGTTTCACGCCCCTGAGATGGTTCTTGCAGGGCCTAGGAGGCCCTTTCCTCGCCGACCCCCTGCACGATTCCTCTGGGGGACCGTGGTCCCAGGGCCAGCCCGGTATGTTGCATAGCGCGGCTGCTCGCTGGGACGAGGCCCTTGACAAGCAGCCCGCTGTCGCGTCGGGTGCGCGCGCCCCGGGAGCCTCACTCGTCTCGTGCCCCTCTGTGATGCGCAGAGTACCTCCGGAGCATCTCCTTGCCGGTGCCTGTCCTGGTGGAGGACACGAGCAGCAGCAGCGAGTACGGCTCCGTCTCCCCCGACACGGAGTTAAAGGTGGACCCCTTCTCCTTCAAAACAAGAGCCAAGTCCTGTGGAGAAAAGGACGTCAGAGGCATACGGACGCTGTTTCTGGGGTAAAGACCTGACGTCGCTGGGGTGAGGGACGTATGTGGGGTGTCCTTTGATAACGGGGATGGTAACATGTGCTGCCTGAATTATTCCAGCATCCCTGATGAAAATTTTGAAGACCATAGCGCTCCGCCTTCTCCAGAGGAAAAAGACTCCGGATTCTTCATGCTGAGGAAGGACAGTGAGAGACGGGCCACGCTTCACAGAATTCTGACCGAAGACCAAGACAAAGTTGTGAGAAACTTGATGGAATCTCTGGCTCAGGTAAAAGCCGTTATATGGAGACTTCATTTCCCCAGAGTTGACTTTTTCTTTTCTTGACTCTGCTGACTCTTTGCTGTGGCGCTGGGGCTTTTTTTTTTTCAGTTGTGGTACATGGGCTTAGTTGCCCCTTAGCATGTGGAACTTTGGTTACCCAACCAAGGATCGAACCCACATCCCCTGCCCTGGAAGGAGGAGTCCTAGCCAGTGGATCACTAGAGAAGTCCACCTGGACCTGTTTCAGATGATGTGAAGACATGAAGAAGTTTCCACCCCCTGATGACAAAACAAACCTACCCCGGGGGGTAGGCAGAATCCCTAACGCAGAAACTGTTTTAGAGCATAAGCTGTTTTTACATCAGGCTTCTCTGGTGGCTCAGACGGGAAAGAATCCACCTGCAGTGTTGGAGACCTGGTTCAGTCTCTAGGTTGGTACAGTCCCCGGGAGAGGGGAATGGTACCCACTCCAGTATTCTTGCCTGGAGAATTACTTGGACAGAGGAGCCTGGCGGGCTGCAGTCCTTGGGACTGCAAAGAGACACAACTGAGCGACTGACACTTTCACTTTCCACTTATTTTTAAGTCAGAAGCAAAATGTTGATGAAGTTCTGGCGGGTTCCTGCAAATCCTTTCACCCCTCATTCATTTATTCATTTACATAATAAACATCCACTGAGACATGTGAATTGCTACCCGCCGTTAGCATGAGACCACCTGCCATTGGCTCCTCTGAGCATTTGGGAAACCTTACTTACTCAACAGAGATCCCTGTGCTTGGAGGGCTCCAGTCAAGAATAGGGAGATAGGCAATAATAAGTAAATGATCTCGGGTGGTAAAAGGCCATACATGCTACAGAAAAAACCAAAGCTGGGCAAACTCTGTTCCTTGGTGTATTTGTTTGCTGAGCTGCCATAACAAAATACGTTAGACTCAGTAGCTTGAACATCAGGGAATTTTTCTCTCTCACGGTTCTGGAAGCTGAAAGTCTAAAACTGGGGTGTTGGCAGGTTTGGTTTCTCCTGAGGCCTCTTCTAGGCTTGCAGGTGGCCACTTTCTTCCTGTGTCCTCACCTGCCCTTTTTTCTCTGTGCGCCCGGAGTGTGTCTTCTTCCTCTTACAAGAGCACTAATCCTGTTGGATTAGGGCCCCACCCTTATGATCTCAACCTTAATTATCTCCTAAATACCCTGTCTCCAAATACAGTCACCTTGAGGGATTAGGACTTCAACACACGAATTGGGGGATGGGGGAAATGGCACAGTTTCATCCTGATACCTGGAAAAATGTATTCCGTGGGATTCTGTTATAGAAATGCAGAAGAATGCCCTCCCAACCCTGTCCTAGTGGAGGCAGGGTGTCCACCACCTCTACACTGCAGGTGATGCCTGCTTGCCTGGAGCAGAGACTCAGGCCTCCTCTGAGTATAAAACTCCCCAGACATACTTGGCCCAGACATGACACTTGCATCCTCTCTCAGTTCTGTGGGTGTCGGGGACTTGTGAACCTGCTTCAGCACCTGTGGTCACCACCTGTCTTCCATGATGACCATGATGACATGTAATTTCTCTCCTCTCTTCTGTCCTAGGAGAATAGCTGCAAAAAGGGTGAAGCTGGAGGGATCAGGTCAAGTTTTCATCTCAGTCCAGTGCTTTACCTGGTCTCAGCTTTTATTAGAATGTAAATGAAGCCAGGCTGTCTCTTTCTCGGCTCTTGCTATATAGCCCTTGCTTGTCTTTATCTTGAGAAGCCCCTGAAATTTCTCTGCCGATTCCACCACCTTAGGAATTCTCTATTATTCACATCTTTAGATTCCATAGGCGGAGCTTAAACACCATGTGTGTGTCATCAGGGTCTCTGGGTACAGGGAAATCTGACATCTATGTGTTCTGGGAAAACTTCTGACTTGAGTCCTAAAGGGAAGCTGCATGGAGTGAGCAGGGAGTCTGAGGCCCTGAAAGGAGGTGCTCTGGGTGAGGGACAGCCAAGTTCTGAATTGGAAGTGGAATGAGTGCTAAGGATGCCACAGAGGAATCTGGAGATGTGGCTGAGATGGGAGTAGTCTGGAACCTGTAGTTGCCACTCGTGCCTTTCCATCTGCTCACTGTGGTCATTCAAGGACTGAGAATCAGATGGTGTGAGATAAAGAAGCAGAACTAAGTTTAGAAAGAAGGAGCAACTGTGCAGTAATTGGAGGTCATTCATTCAACAAATATTTATTGAGCATCTACTAGATGCCAGGCATCCCCCCATCTATGTGCTGGGTATGCTAGGACACCATAGTGAACAAAATGGGAAAAAATAGATGCATCCCATTGAAGCTGACATTCTTGTAGAGCAAGAAAAGCATTAAAAATCTACTAAGTGCATAGTTGAATATATAGTAGTTTAATATATAGTTAAATGTTATTATATACTATGTATGTTACATATATGTTACTATGTATGTTAAATATATAATGTGTGTGTATGTGTCTGCCTAGTCGATCAGTTGTGTCCGACTCTTTGCAACCCCATGGACTGTAGTCCGCCAGGCTTTTCTGTCCATGTGGATTCTCCAGGCAAGAATACTGGAGTGGGTTGCTGTGCCCCCCTCCAGGGGAACTTCCCAACCCAGGGATCGAACCCAGTCTCCCACATTGCAGGCAGATTCTTTACCATCCGAGACACCAGGGAAACCCAAATATATAGTAATAATAGCAAGTACTTTCTGTGGGCCAGATATTGTTCTTAGTCCCTGTGTCTCTGCTCACTCACTTCCTTGTGACCGCAGTCCTGCAGCAGAAGTTCTGGTAGTCTCCTCATCTTGCACAGAGGAGGTACGGAGGCGTTGAGTAACTCGCAGAAGTCACACAGCCCTAAGCGATGCAATTGGGGTTTGGACCCAGGCAGTCTGGCTCCAGGGTCTGTGCTCTCTAGATCCACACTGCTGTCCCTCCTGCTCCACCAGAGGGTGGCAGGTCCTGGGAGAAACACATGCAGCAGGGGAGGGGACGGGGTTGGGGTTTGGGTTTGGGAGAAGGAATCGCCAGTAGCGGCTGTGGCGCGGAGGCTTCTGTTTTAGGTCAGTACATGGAAGCCAGTGATTGCTTAAATCTCACGATCATCCCCTGTGGGTGTGCTCTCCTAACACAGAAAAGTGTCTGCCTTGATTCGTGTCATGGTCTCAGCCCTCAACAGAGAGGCTGTGCTTCCATGACTGTGCTGAAATTCCTAAATTTTGGAGTTGGTTAATCCTATTCAAGCCTTCCCTGGTGGCTCAGATGGTAAAGTGTCTGCCTACCATGTGGGAGACCCGGGTTAGATCCCTGGGTGGGGGAGGATCCTCTGGAGAAGGAAATGGCAACCCACTCCAGCACTCTTGCCTGGAAAATCCCATGGGAGGAGCCTGGTGGGCTACAGTCCATGGGGTCGCAGAGTCGGACACGACTGAGCGACTTCACTTCCCTTCACTTCAGTCCTATTCAAGTGTTTGTGACTTCCTAGTGTTTTAAGAATGCTTGAACGTTCTCTAAAAAGGAGAAAAGGAAAGAAAAGCTTAAAAGTGACTGCCAGAAGGCTTGCCTCAGTACACCAGTATGAAGTGACCAGTATGATTCTGACCAGAAACTGCTGGTCACAGTTGCTTAGTAAATCCAGAATTGTCAAGTGAGAGATAGGGTCCTTCTGACGGTGACTGCTGCAGATGCTGTGAATCCTTTCCTAGGGCATCCCGTGGTGATCTTGCAATAGAGCAGGTCCCCACCCAGGTTTACTGCTGGTTCAGACAGCTAATTGAGGCAGTAGAAGGTAATGATTAGGAGCTTGGGTTCAGCCTCAACTTGACTCTGAGGCCTGATTCTACCACATAAAGGCTATGTGATTTGAACAAGTTAGTTAACCTCTCTGAGGCTGAATTTCCTAATCCAGAAAATTGAGGAAACAATGGAGTTAGTCACCACAGCAAAGGGTTGCTACGGGAAGGAACTAAGATCATGAATCACGAGACAATAACAGGGAGAATTCCATAAATGTTAACTATTATTGGTGATATCATCATTATCAAGAAGTTATCTAGTATCTGATTTTTTTCAATGACCAGATGGAAATGTATTTTCACTGTATTAAATATTTCTAGATACATCTTTACATTTAAGCCTGCCCCTTTTATGACAAGACTGAAGTGTAGATCCTCAAAGTGTGGCCCATGAGGGCACTTTCAGTCTGTAACATCCTTCTGAAATCCACTCATCACTTTGAAGGAGTTTAAGGACAAAGAAGGCAGAGCCCCTTTGCCAGAGAATCTAGGATGGTCCTCTTGAGTGTTCAGGAAAGGCACCCTGTCAGATGCTACCTTCTGACACTGAATCATAAAGGCATGTTCATAAAGGCATGTTAATGAGTACACGTGGGGAGGCAGGCTTGAGGACAGAAACAACCATTATTATGACTATTATGTAGGTGATGAAATTCCCCAGATGAAAAACATTTCCCAGGGTAGATAGTGTTCCTTTGTACGACAGGGACAGTTACATCAAAAAACCAGCAGGAGCGTGTTTTTCTGTTGTGAAAACAAAGCAAATGTCCAAAAAAATGTTTGCTGTTTAAACTGCTGGCAAACATGTAACTGATTTTTTCACTAAGATAAGCTTCCAATTTCTAAATAGCACATATTTTTCTTCTCAAACGTATTTTCATGTTTTTATGATATTGCCTGTGAATCTTTACTTTGAGTGTAATTTAGTTTGTGGCAAGAAAAGAAACAAAGTTTAAAATTGTTCCCTGTCTGATTTTCAAATATTTCCTTAATGATAGCTTTCAAGCTTTTCAATATAATCTTTTCTCATCAAAGCATAAACATGAGAGGGCGCTCCCAAATGAAAATAGATTGAGAGAACGAACTTAATGGGGCATTTCTCTTTTATTTTAATAGACTCCTAGAAATTGTCATTTTCAAAGCCCAGTTGAGGAATTTAATTTTAATGATGCAGTAACAAAATACACAATACGAGATAGAAATGAGGATAATAAAAATCCCTTTCTTTCTTAAAGTTAAATGAGGATCAATAGCATTCTACTATGTTTCCTTTAAGTAATAACGTTTCTTGCTCAAAGTAGAAGTTCAACTTGAAGAAGGGAATTTGTTTAAATACTTAATTTTTAATATGTAGAGTCATCCATTTGGTCCATTCTTATTACTGATTGCCTTATTGGTGTGTAAGGAATGGTTTCCAGGATAAAGTTTGAAGCAAGCTCCTTTTAATAGTAAAATGTTTTATATGTTTTTATTGTTAATTGATTTTTATTGGAGTATAGTTGCTTTACAATATTATGTTAGCTTCTACTGCACAGCAGAATCAATCAGCTGTACATATACATACATGTGCATGCTCAGTCGTGTCTGAGTCTCTGTGACCCCATGGACTATAGCCCGCCTGGCTCCTCTGTCTGTGGGATTCTCCAGGCAAGAATACCGGGGTGGGTTGTCACTTCCTACTCAAGGGGATCTTCCCACCCCACGGATCAAACCCACGTCTCTTGCATCTCCTGCATAGGCAGGTGGAGTCTTTTCTCCTATGCCACCTGGGAAGCCCACATATACATATTTCCCCTTCGTTTTGAGTTTCCCTCCCATTTAGGATACCGTCAGTGAAGTAGGTCAGAAAAAGAAAAACAAATATCATATATTAATGAATATATCTAGAGAAATGATATAGATGACCTTATTTGCAAAGCAGAAATAGAGGCAAAGTCTTGGAGAGCAAATGTATGGATACTGAGGGGTAGGCAGGGTGGTATGAATTGGGAGATTGGGATTGATACATATACACTATTGATACTATGTATAAAATAAACAGCTGATGCTAGCTGCTTTTGATTGCAAAGAATTGATGTGTTTTAAGGGCACTTGATGGACTGCAAGGAGATCCAACCAGTCCATCCTAAAGGAGATCAGTCCTGGGTTTAGAAGGACTGATGCTGAAGCTGAAACTCCAATACTTTGGCCACCTCATGCGAAGAGTTGACTCATTGGAAAAGACCCTGATGCTGGGAGGGGTTGGGGGCAGGAGGAGAAGGGGACGACAGAGGATGAGATGGCTGGATGGCATCACCGACTCAATGGACATGAGTTTGAATAAACTCTGGGAGTTGGTGATGGACAGGGAGGCCTGGCGTGCTGCGATTCATGGGGTCGCAAAGAGTCGGACACGACTGAGCGACTGAACTGAACCGAACTGGAAGGACCCTTGATGGACTAGGAACATATAGGCAGACACATGTATTCTCAGCGTCTCGCGGAGCCTCACAGAGACAGAAACTGGAGTGTGATTCCAAGGCCTTCAAGGCCCGCAGTCTGTGCTTCTCTGGCTTGGTTGCTGCTGGCACCCGTTTCCGTCTGCTTCTCTCTCTACCAATCGTCCTTCTCACCTCTGTTCCTTGTGCTTCCTTATAACTCGATGCACTCTCACCCTGTTTTATGACTTCTCTCTCTGGGCAGACTTTGAGCCTGAGATCCTATGGCTTATTGCCTGAATCTCTCTTTAGCTCCCAATTAAAATTTCTGAAAGTGGAATTTCAGTCTCTGCCTGTCCCTGTTTGTCCATCTGACTACATCACGGCTGTTGGACAGTGTATGCGGTGGGTTTCTTTCCTTCCCAAGGACTTCTCTTTCCTTTTTTTTTTTTTTTTTTTTGCAGGGGGAGAAGCCATAGTTTAAATATGGCTATTCCCCCTTAGCAGGGGGCTATTGATAGCATGTATAAAAAAGTCCAGTTCTTCTCAACAGGGGCTATGAGGGCAGCAGGCCCATGGCTGATACATCCAGTATAGAAATATCTGACCGACTGACAGACTGTTGGTTACTGTTCACAGGGGGCTGAAGAACCTAAACTAAAATGGGAACACATCACAACTCTCGTTGCAAGCCTCAGAGAATTTGTGAGGTCCACAGACCGGAAGATCATAGCCACCACCCTGTCCAAGCTGAAACTGGAGCTGGACTTCGACAGCCACGGTATCAGTCAGGTCCAGGTGGTGCTCTTTGGTTTTCAAGATGCTGTAAGTATGATGCTTCGCCCATGTTTTCCCAGACACTCCAGCTAAAATTAGTCAGAAAAACAGGATAAAAACATAAGCTCTCTTGCCTTTTCTTTATTTAATCATTGCCATGAATTCTCTTCTCTTTAGAACATGAGTAAGTATGAGATGGTTGCCTGTCTGTGTGCCTCGAAGCACTAGCTTTGTTTGTTATATAATCTGGTATCTCCCCCAGGTTAGATACACATAAAATGGAACACCGTGGAAAATAACAACACTCACAGATATCTCCCATGACTGCACTTTGTCCTTATGAAATCATGTAGTTGGTCACTATTTATTTTGATGATTTTAGCAACAGAGCACTCTTCAGTCCTGCACTTTCTATTATATATGAAAAATGCCATCTAGTGGTCACTCGGAAAAATGTAACTGTACTGATCAGAATGATCGGAATGATCAAATTTTTCCCCCCTTGCTCTGTTTTCCAAACAGAACATTTTTGACATGCTTGTTTAATAAATATTCACTACTTCCTAGCCAGAAATATACTTTAGAGCACAGGGCTTCACTGGATAAAAGTTAATCCACAGGCTTTGGTGAGAGATCACTGACCGTTCCTCGCTCTCACAGCGAGTTGCTACGCAACACAAACTTGAAGCCAGTTTTCCAGAAGCCTGATGCAAACCATATGTGATATCCTTGAATGAGACTTGCCTGTGGAACTTGTACCAAAAAAAGCCTGAAGTCCCTCCCAGAAGCCCTTATAAGTGACTGCGGGAGACAGAAATAAGAGAGTTCCCAAGGTGCTGGCCCTGTGAATAGGGAAGCACTTTGCATCATTTTAGGTAAACTCCCCAAATTGCCTCAGTCCTAATGAGTTTACTGCTCCTACCTAGAAGATGTCTTGACAGTTGCGTTTGGTGCATCAAAAGATCCCAGATTTAAAACTAAATTGTAATCCTTCGGTGACCCCGTGCTCCCTGGAACTCTGTGCAAGCTGCTCAGTCTTGGGCTGTATCCTGGGCAGGGCAACACTCCTGACTTGATTGACGTCATGGGAAATGAGAGCAACCGGCCAGGCCTGTCACTAATATAATGCTAAAGGCACACTTACTGTGTAACTAGGGAACCCCAGCCAGCTGCAAATAGAATCACATAACTCAGTGAATTTACAACTTGCTCAGACATTTGGCTTCCGATCTAGAGATTGGAAGGCAAATAGGCAAGTAGAATTCAGATTGAGAGTGGGTTGGTTGTAATCCTGGGCCACAGACCAAGTCACACACACACACCCCTACCTGCTTTTGCTCTGACTAGAGATGTCCAGAATGGACTTGCACTGTCCAGGATGGGAATGAACCCAAAGAATGGCCCAGATGTAATATACTGTTTAATGAGGGGTTGTGAGGAGCTGGTCATGGTAGGGGACCCTGCCTCCATTTTCTGTTTGGGACCCTTGAGAAAAAGATTATTAGTTACTAAATGTTGTACCCACATTAGTCAAATAATCAGGTGAGTCCTTTAAGAAAATGCCAGGACAAAATTATTCTGAAGGGGTTTCCTAGATCAAGTGGGAACCTAGCAATGGTCCACTTCCTTGGGAACAACCACTCTGAGGAATTCCTCAGACAGACTGCCATTGACACTGGTGGATTTTGATGAAGATGGATCAAGGGCAGGAATGAGCCACTGTAACTCTAGCTTCTGGTGTGAGATTGCAGCTAGGTCACCTTCTCCCCAACTTCCTCTAAGATCTCTAGTCAGAGTCCTGTTGGGAAAAATAGCGTCTTTTCTTAAAGACTCATGTCAACCAGAAATTAGTGGAGTTAAACCTAATTTTGAATAAACCTCTTAGCCTTAAGATAAAAGTCATTTATAAAAAGGTAATGGCTTACCTATACTTGATGGAATATTATCAACCTGAAAAAGGAACGAAATTCTGACACATTGCACTAACTGAAATGAGCCAGACATAAAAAGACTGTATGATTTTGATTGTGTGAGACACTTAGAGTAGTCAGATTCTACAGGAAGTAGAATGGTTGTTGTCAGGGACTGGGAGGAGAGGGCAGGGGGGAATCATTGTTTAATGGGTTTAGCGTTTCAGTTTTGCAGGATGAAAAGAGTTCTGGAGATGAGCAGTGGTGATGGTTCAGTTCAGTTCAGTTCAGTTCAGTTGCTCAGTCGTGTCCGACTCTTTGCGACTCCATCCATGAATTGCCAGGCCATGAAATGCCAAGCATGCCAGGCCTCCCTGTCCATCACCAACTCCCGGAGTTTACTCAAACTCATGTCCATCGAGTCAGTAACGCCATCCAGCCATCTCATCCTCTGTCGTCCCCTTCTCCTCCTGCCCCCAACCCTCCCAGCATCAGGGCCTTCTGATGGTGATGGTAGTGTTGACTAAAAAATGAGCCGCAGCCTGAAAGTAGAGAGTTACTTTATTTGGTGGGAACGTTAAGGACTCCGAGCCCAGGAGACAGCATCTCAGTAGCTCTGTGAAATCTGCTCAGAGGAGGCAGGAGAGGGAGTCAGGCTATAGACTAAGTTTGCAACAAAGTGGGCAGGCAACCTGAACATCAAAGATTATTGGTAGGTAGTAAGGAAAACCAGATTTCAAGCTAAGGAATTTAGTGTTTTCTGTGTATGGAAAGATGCAAACCTCTGGGCTCTCTGAATTCATTCTTTTCATAGGCACCTCAGCTGCCAGGGGCCAAATCTGTTTCCAGATGCTTTACATCCTTAATTCCTTTTTTACCGCAAGGGGTGAAGGGTGTGGCGGATGGCTGCTTCCTCACCCCACCAGCAATTGCCATGGTTGGGGGTGGTGGCATCTGCTGGATGACAGTTTTGGGAGCCCTCATTCACATTAGGAGGCCTGAAATCGCTGACGGCTGTGACATGTCTTGCCCACTGATACAGCAGGAAATGTTTCATTTCACACTAACACAACAGTGTCAATGTGCTCAATGCCACTTAAAAATGCCACTTTAACTGTACACTTAAAAATAGTTGAGATGGAAAAAAAAAATAGTTGAGATGGTAAATTTGATGGAATGCATATTTTAGCATAATTTTTCAAAAGAAAAGTAATGCATATATATGTGTCAGTGTCTGTGTAAATAAGTGAAACATTACTAGTCACTTTAAAAAGATAGTCTTACAACAGAGATTTTTAATGTGAACAGATTGTCTGGACTAGTTCAACACTTTATTCCCCTTTTAAAAAGATAGAAGCTGTGTGGGGTAGAAAACAAGGCATGCACCATGGCAGGTCTGCAGGTAGCACGCGTGTTCTCATGCTCCCCCTTTAAACGGTGACTGGCACTTTCAAGCCATCTCATTATGCTGAAGTGCTTGGCTGTGTTGAACAGCAGCCATAACATTTAAGAATAAAAAGGAAATACATAGTCTTGATGCACGTGTGTATGCTGAATCACTTAATTCATGTTCACCTCTTTGCGACCTCATGGACTGTAGCCCGCCAGGCTCCTCTGTCCATGGGATTCTCCAGGCAAGAATACTAGAGTAGATTGCCAAGCCCTCCTCCAAAGGATCTTCCCAACCCAGGGATAGAACCAGTGTCTCATGTCTCCTGCATTGGCAGGTGGGTTCTTTACTGCTAGTGCATCCATTTTAAACCCTGTGGACTTTTCTTCCCCCTTCTTTTATCACCTCCACCATCCAGTCTGCTGACATCATAAAAGGCAGAAGTTGTAGATACCGAGTCCCAAAGAGGCAACATTCCCTTTCAACTAGATTGCCTTTCATTGAAGTGGTATATCTCACTTGCTTACATGGGGAGCACCAAACTTCATTTTGAAATGGCAATTTTTCATTTGTTTTCTGGTGACATAAATAAATTATTCACAATTCAGAGTGAAGAAGCCTTTTAGTTATTATTATTGGTAGAATATCATCCAAATGCATGCATCAGCTAGGTTATTTGCAATTAAATATTAAAGTAAACCATATATCACTCTCTTTCTCCAGGTCAATAAAGTTCTTCGGAATCATAACATCAAGCCACACTGGATGTTTGCCTTGGACAGTATCATCCGAAAGGCAGTACAGACGGCTATTACCATTCTGGTTCCAGGTCAGAAATACTTAACTACTTTGCAGATATTTAGAGTTTGGTATTTTCAGTTACTGTTCATCTATCATTTATGATGTCTCCTCACTGCTTTTAAGACAACTTAGCCTTTTTTTTTTCATCTTTCAAAACCACCAAATAATATTTATCTAGTACATGTACTCTGAGCAAAATGTTTACTATGAGTGAGGAAGACTTGTTTCCTTGCCTTTAAAGAGCATCATTGGATATAAAGACAAAGAGAAAATGATACAGGAGCTCCAAATACATATACTTTTCAATATTTAGATATCTGTACCCACAAAACACCCTCCCATGTCATCCTTTACCAGTGGTTCTCATATCTGCCAGTGCATCAAGTGATGTCAGGAGCTTTTTAAAATTACGGCTTTGAGAGCTCCATCCCAGACTGAGTGAAAATCTGCTGAGGATAAAGCTCAGGAATCTGATTTTCCAGGTCATTTTTATACACAGCCAGGTTTGGAAATCACGGGTCTAAATAGATTCCAGCTATGTTTGCACTGAGATATTATTCCAAAGGGTGTCTCAATGAATGCAGCCAGGTTATGGGAGTAAGCGTGTGTGCTAAGTCGCTTCAGTCATGTCTGACTCTGTGTAACCCCACGGACTATAGCCTGCCAGGGCCCTCTGTCCATGGGATTCTCCAGGCAACAATACTGGAGTGGGTTACCATGCCTTCCTCCAGGGGCTTGTCTCAACCCAGGGATTGAACCCACATCTCTTACCTCCTGTATTGGCAAGGTGAGTTCTTTACCACTAGCACCACCTGGGAAACCTGTTACGGAGAAAGGGAGAGATGCACTCATGTTCTAAGACAAGCTTCCAAAGTGTTTTGATAGTGTACGCGTAATAGAAAATTTAAGCGGAGCTATTCCAGCTTGCATTGTGTGTGTGTGTGTGTGTGTGTGTGTATAGATAGAGAAATAGATTGATATAGGTATATGAATTAGAAACGTGTTCTAAAATAAAAGAAACATGTTCTGTTGTACTAATTTGTACATGTATTATAAAGTATTCTAAAACAGAAATCTAAAAAGATAAGGTAAATATAAATATGAAACATTTCAAATTTTATGTTATTTATAAATGGTACCACAAACTTTCAAGTTATTATAAACCCTTCTGAGTTGTGGAGTTCCTTCTCTTCTTTCAGAATGCCTTGTCTGGTTTCAGAGTGAGGGATTAACATTTCTTTCTTATAAAAGGAGGAAATAGAAGAAGTTCTAACATCCCTGAATGGGTCGTTCCTCTATGTGGTGCATACCACACCGCCCCCACTGTCCCCCAGCCCCATCCCTCCGGCCACCTCCCCTTCTGTTCTTGGTTTTTTTTTTTCTTTCTTTTTTTCCCTTGTGTTCTTGTAAGTTTGCCTTCTTCAGTTCTCAGTTTATGAGATGCCCTCTCAGAGAGTCCTGACCGACCCCCAAAGTCTACAGTAGACCCCCTGTCTCTCCTTGGAAATGGTTTTCCCATTGGTGACATTTGCCCAGTCAGAAACTACTTTAATTTCTTGTCTAATGGCTGTTGCCCTTACCCTTACTTATGTCTTTTATTCTGTGTCAAACATGTCGTCCAGCACGTTGCCTGGAAATTAACAGACTTCCAGTAAGTGTTGGTTGAAGCAATCAGTAGATGAGTTTTACCTGGTTATAACAAATTAGGGTGAAAACTTTTGCATCACTTAGAAGAAACCCTAGTGAGGCTTTGAAACAAACGGCTGGCAGTTGGATGTGAACCTGAAGAATGTAAAGCTGATGGAGACCTAGTGTGATGCTCTGAGGAAGTCAGCATGCACTTATGTTTAGATGGTTAATCAGGGAGATGAGCTTCGGTGTGGGAAGTGTACCAAAGAGGGGTTATAAACCCAAAAGACATAAGGGGTGGATGGGATAAGTGTGTGTCAGTGAGTAGTATAGGTGTAGGCTATGAGTTACACCATGTGCTGTGCATGCAAAGTCACTTCAGTTGTGTCTAACTCTTTGTGACTCTATGGAATAACCTGTCAGGCTCCTCTGTCCATGGGATTCTCCAGGCAAGAATACTGGAGTGGATTGCCATGCTCTTCTCCAGGGGATCTTCCTGACTCCGGGATCGAACCCGCATCTCCTGCCACTCCTGCATTACAGGCAGCTTCTTTACCGCTAAGCCACTGGGGAAGCCCCAAGCTACACCCAGTAGTAACCTAAATTGAGAATGTCTAAATGAGGAGAAGAGAAAGGGATTATACTTTGAAATAATTTAAATAACATATAAATAATCTGTTAATCTAATTTGTAATAACTTCTTTTAAAATGGATTACCTAAATGCAATGGATTGTACCCTGGAATAGAAAAAAGAACATCAGGAAAATGAGCATAATCTGAAAGTAACCCAGTTTCCTTAATACAGCTGATACTATACCAATGTTAATTTCTTAGTTTTGACCGAGGTACCATAGTTACATAAGATGTACTAGGTGAACTGGGTGGAAGGTATATGGAGTTCTCTGTATTATCTTTATAGTATTTCTGTAAATCTAAAATTCTTCCAAAATACAAAGTTTATAAAGCACCCTGATTATCATGCTGTAGATGAAACACTTTAATCTTAGAGGGAGAGACAGGGACAACGCAGGGAGGCATGGCTCCTCACATGAGTGTTCCCGTGATGGGCATTGCTCTAACCCAGCTCGTGTGCAGAGGAAGGCACACTCTATGAAAACAGTTTGCTAAGCAAAGTTTTCTGTCCTTCCACTGTGAAATTGGTTTCTTTGAGGCCACTAGGGGTCTCTGATGACAACTGAAATGACTCTTTGAAAGCATTTTAAAAAGTGAGCAAAAAAAAAAGACTTCCCTTGCAGTCCAGTGGTTAGAATTCCACACTTCTACTGCAGGGGGCACGGGTCCAATACCTGGTCGGGAAACTAAGATCCTACAAGCTGCATGGCACGGCCAAGGATAATAGTAATAAGTAGAAATTTCAGAGAATTACATTAAGAAAGTATTTTTTAATATTCCTCTCAGGATGCAGGAAGACAATATACACTGTACATCAATATGTATATGTTGAAATATATGAACAGGGGCAACCAATTTCAAGCATTTGACAATTCCATTGATTTCCAAATGTCCCTAAAGATTTTATTATACAATTAAGATTCAAAGAAACTACACTTAAAATGCCTGTCTTTTTAGTCTCTTGATAAAAATTCCCTTTAGATGACAAAATACTGCAATTAACCTACCAAATTTTAAGACTTGCTAAAGAAACCAACAAATTTAAAAGTATACCATCATCAGTACACACATTTCCTAGATGTGTTTGCTAAGAGGACCCAGATGCTGGCTTTTAAACATTCTCTAATAAAAGGAATCAGAGGTCCTTGCAGAAATGGTTGATTTCCAGGCCTGCCTGGGGCAGAGGAAATACAAGATGAACCTGTAACTTACTGTGATGGCAAAAAAGTAAGGAAGTGCCCCAAAAGGATGGAAGCTGATACAAAGGACCCTGGAGACAGCTTGAAGGACTTTCCAGAAGTCTAAGCCAGAACAAATTAAACAAAAAATCAATAAAAATAATATTGGATTATATGCATAGAGTAAACTAAATAGCCACGAGTCCATACTGATATAAGTAATTGAATAAATATGTATATGGAGGAAAAAGGCCAATTATTTGTCTTAGTATAATTCCAATTAATACATGTAGAAGGGATGAGGGAAATAGAAAATCACTGTTAGGCAAACACCACAGTAATAATTATTACAGCAAGAACCATCAATAGCTGCTGAGGTAAGCAGGAAAAATAATGCTGAGAAACGAGGTATTCGAATGGTCTCAGGGACTCTCCTGACAAGATATCTACTAACTACAAAGAGGAAACAGTGACAGTTCCTTTACCAAAAGCTCAAGGTAAGCATCACTCACATAAGACACAGCAACATCGGGTACCTCCTGATATGATGCTCTGAGAAGGACACAGCATCGCCTTTGTGGTATAGGAGCCAAAAAGGCAAGAGCCTCAACCCAATCTTGACAGGGCATAAATGAACCAAAAATGAGGGACACAGTACATCATAGCTGACCAGGACTCCTCAAAAGTACAGAGGTCTTGGGGGATAGAGAAATACTAGGTTACTGTCACAGATTGGCAAAGACTGAGAGACACATGACGAATAATGCGGTGTGGGATCCCAGATCAGAAAAAGGACATCCTTGGGAAAACGGTGAAATCAAGTAAGGTCTGTTGATTAGGTTGATAGCATTATATCCATGTGAATTTGCTGGCTTTGGTAATAGTGCCAAAGCAGTGTAAGCTGTTACAAATATTTAGGGCAAGCTGATACTGGGTGTACAAGGAGCTCTCTGTACTGTTTTTTGCAACTTTTCTGTTATTCTAAAGTTATTTCAAAATGACAAGGAAAAAATAAGAAAATGTTCCATCTTCTTTCTTCCGAAAAGGAATGCACAGAACAGAGTACTGTGTAAACCCCATATGAGTTTCTTTTTTTTCCCCTCAGACTCTTTTCCTGCTTATCTTCAAGGATCAGCCTGTGAATTATTGGTAACACTGAGTATCTTTCATTACTCTGCAAGTACAGGCTGGCGGTGGGTGACCAGATGGCAAAATTCTGTGCATGAGACCGTGTTGGCCCAGCGAAGGCAGAGAGGATGCGCAGTGCAGGTGCACTTCTGATGGGAACTCCAGTCGTTGAAGCTGCTAGAGGCCTTGGTGTTACTCCCAGTTGTTACGCTGAATCAGTCCTATGCCCCATGTCCACATCAATATAAAATGACCAGCACCCCAAACTACATGCAGTGTTTGGTGCAGGGATCATACACCACTCTGACAAGTATTGTGATCCTACCATGTGTTAAACAAGCTTGGTCTGGTTATTTTCCTCTGATGAGGCTGCCAGCTGGGGTGGAGTGGGGGTGAGGGGAGGTGGGGATAGCATTGCTGTTTGACCCTGCCTTGTGTTTTGGAAACATGCGCTCCCTTGAGTTTCCCACACGTGGGCTTAAATGCTGTCCATTCATTCCAGGTTCCCCTGAGTCCCTGCCTTTCCTGTGACACTTGGCTCTGTCCGGACAGTTCCCTCTGCCTTCCGTTCTCCTCGGAGGGCTCATTTGTCCTTCCTTCTCCTAAGCTTCCCAGGCGGCTCAGAGAGTGAAGAATCCACCTGCAGTGCAGGAGACCCAGGTTCCATCTCTGGGTTGGGAAGATCCCTTGGAGAGGGGAATGGCTACCTACTCTAGTGTTCGTGCCTGGAGAACTCCATGGACAGAGGAGCCTGGCAGGCTATAGTCCTTCGGGGTGCAAAGGGCTGGACATGACTGAGCAACTAACATTTCACTTCCCTCAAGTACCTCTTCCCCTTTCTCCACCCCAGGGCTTTCCCCTCCTCCAGAACCTGCCTGGGCCCTTCCATCTCCTTGAATCCATCAATGAGTAAAGCCCACACTAGGTTTAGTCATTGCAAATATACTTTACTTACCCCTTAGCACTCTTATTGTATGTACCTGTGAATTATATATGTAGCTAGGTATATAACTGAAAGCATCTAAGATATTCAAGCTGAATTCATTTGTACTTGTAATTCCACGTTATCTTCGAATATGCTTTTATGACTCTTGTGTATATTTGCCCTAGTTCTCCTTCAGGTTGTTTCTTTTGGAGGATCAAGACCAGATGCTCTCTCTTATTTGCATGTTTTACAATATCTAATTTGATGATGTGTCCTCAGGGAGCCATCATGAAAGATCAAAATAACAAAGTATTGCATTCACTTATAGTTTTCTACTTTCTTTGAATTATTGAGAAAAACTTTTAGTCATTGGCACATAAGTAAAATGATGATATATGATCATTTAAAGGGTACAGAGTTAGAGGAATGTAAGGGAACATTTAAATGTAATAATGTAATAATAAGTATTAGAAATTTTCCCTCTCCTAAAGTGAGATTATATTCAACAAGACAATAAACCTTTAAAATTAGTTTTAAAATTTCAGTTTAGAGACCATAAGAAAAAAAATTTAGAAAATTTAAAAAGGCCTATTCTTGCTTTAATTTAATATAGATAGAATTCTTATATTTAAAAAAAATTATTTATTTGGCAATGCCAGGTCTTAGTTGCACAGCACATGGGATCTAGTTCCCCAACCAGGTATTAAACCCAGGCGCCATGCATTGGGAGTGCTGTCTTAGCCACTGGATCACCAGGGAAGTCCTCTTATTTTTAAAGATTTTTTTTCACTATTTTGTTCCCTTTTTAATAATCGTAGTAAGATAACTTCCATTCTGCCAACACTTTTTATGAAGTTAATATGGCTCAGCCCCTGAGGCAGATTTATGTAACTTAAAAACACCTGATTTTGAGTTATACCTACAACTAACACACAGAATGAAGACAAAAGGGCTTCCCTGGTTGCTCAGACAGTAAAGAGTCTGCCTGCAATGCGGGAAACCCGGGTTCTAGATCCCCTGGAGAAGGAAATGGCAACCCACTCCAGTGTTCTTACCTGGGAAATCCCATGGATCGAAGAGCCTGGCAGGCTATGGTCTATTGTCACAAAGGGTCAAGACACAACTGAGCAACTAAACAGAGAATACTATAGATGAACTAGGAAATATAATTTTGGAAGGAGAAGGCAGTAATGCAGACAGCAGAATAGAGGTGGAGTTTGGCTGACCTTAAGAGATAAAGGATAAGGATGTGGAGAGATTAGAACCTTTGTGCACTATTGGTGAGACTATAAAATGGTGCAGCCACTATGGAAAACAATATGTGGCTCCTCAAAAAAAATAAAAATTACCATATGTTCTTCTGGGCATATATTCAAAAGAATTGAAAGCAGGATCTCAAATGGATAACTGTACGGCCAAGTTCACAGCAGCATTATTCACAGTAGCAAAGAAGTAGAAGCAACACAAGTGTCCACTGACCGATGAATGGATAAACAAAGTGTGGTATATGCAAACAATGGAGTACTATACAGCCTTCAAAAGGAAGGAAATTCTGACACATGCAACAGCTTGCTTGAAATTTAAGGACATTATACCATACACAGGTCAATAAGGCAAAGACCAAACAGTTCCCTGGAGGATTTGGCAATGAATTGGCCCTTTGGCTGCATTGATGTAGCAGCGATGTTAGAGTAGTGGGCGGGGTCTTCCATCACTCCCTCTGGCGCCCTCCCCCAACACAGGGGCTCTTAAACTGTGGTTCATGGACTCTCCGAACTGGCTTCCAGGGAGTCAGTGAGCCCTCAAGAAACAGGGAAAATGCTGTCTGAATGTGCTTCTCTTCTGGGGAGAATCCACATGGCTCTCATCAGATTCTCGGTGGGTTCTGTGATCTAATGAAAGCTCCACATGCCCACAGTGAGATATCACCCCAGACTTGTGGGAATGGCTGTCATTAAAAAGAATACAAATACCAAATGTTGGCAAGGATGTGGAGGAAAAAGAACCCTCCTACACTGCTAGTGGGAATGTAAACTGTTGCAACTACTATAGAAAACAGTATAGAGGTGGCTCAAAAAACTAAAAATATCATATGACCCAGTAGCTTCACTCCTGGGTATATATTGGAAAGAAACAAAAGCACTAATTTGAAAAAATACATTTTTTCCAATGTTCAGAGCAGCATTATTTACAGTTGCCAAGTTATGGAAACCACCTAAGTGTCCTTCAACACATAAATGCCTTAAGAAGATGTGGGGTGTGTGTGTGTGTGTGTGTGTAAATGTGTGTATGTGATGGAATACTACTCAGCCATAAAAAGGAATAAAATTTTGCTCTTTGCAGCAACATGACATGAATGGATTTGAAGAACATTATGCTGAGGTGAAAAAGTCAGACAAGAAAGACAAATACTGTATGATATCATTTATATGTGGAATCTAAAAAAGACAATAAACTAGTGACTATAACACTGATAAAGAGAACAAATTAGTGTTCACCGGTGGGAAGAGGGGATGGGAAAGGGGCCATACGAGGTACAGGGAAAATAAGCGTCATTCTAGGATTATATGAAATCATATGTGTGAAACTTTTGAAAATTGTAAAGAATTATAGAATTTAAAGATGTTTCTTTGAAAATAAAAGTTTCATGTATCATAGCATATGGAGCCAAGATCCAATATTTCTGTTACCCTGATTTTATTTAAATTATGAATGTAATTCCTTTTGGGGGCGCCATTTTGAGAACCTAATCACAATGTATAATAGTTTTTCCCATCAGAAGGTATCATCCCAATTCTGAAGTGACCCGCAGATGAACTCCTGGCCGGCAGTCTGTTTAACCTGGAGACTTGTAACTGTTGCACTTTAAATCTTAGTGGTGAGTCAGTAGGTTAGGGCAGGACACACACTAAAAATTAACCTAATAGTCAAAAAGTCAAAAGCAGATAGGCCTACTAGAGTGAATATAAGAATGTGTGTGTATTTTCAGTACTTGCCCCTCCCACCCCCAGACATTTTGCATATTACAAGCAAAAAGCATTCTGTCTTCTTACTTTTGTTTATACAATCTCTCTATATCTCACTTTCCTCATTTCTAAGTGAGTTAATAGTTGACAGAATCAAAACTATGAATTTCAATTGTATAAACAAAATTTCATATTCTTAACAGGTTTTTACACAATTGCCTATCTGATTTTAACAGATTTCCCACGTATCTTATGTGCTGTGTGAACATTTCTGTTTGAGTTAGATCATTCTGAGTTTACATATCTTATGAATTTTGCAAATTTACTGGAAGAACAAATCTGAAATAATGTGCAGAAATCCATCCTCACTTTTGGAAAAGCAGTTGGGCATACATCTCTTATTGATGGCAGGGGAGATGACATGTCTTAAGAAATTAAGGCAGTCATTCTTATTTCATTAAGATTGTTGTTGATCATATGCTTAACAGAACTGAGGCCACATTTCAGCCTTGCATCTGAGAGTGATACTGCCGATCAAGAAGACTTGGATGCAGAAGGTGACCATGACGAACGGCCTTCAAATCAAACTGTCCGAAGACCTCATGCAGTCCTTGAAGATGCGGTAGCCACCTCAGGGGTGAGCACGCTCAGTTCTACTGTATCCCACGACTCCCAGAGTGCTCACCGATCGCTGAATGTACAACTTGGAAGGATGAAAATAGAAACAAATAGGTAAGGCCTATTCCAATGTGGTCGGGTTTCTTTTTTCTTTCTTTTATATAAGTGCATGTGTTTGGAGTCTACTTTAAAGATTGGTCCACAGAATATACGTAAGGTAATTCCTTTCCCCATTCATATAACCTTGATTTAATTATTTATTAAAATGAGAGATTTATTTTAGCCTCTTTAGTCAAATACGTTTTCTGCTGCTCCCAATTCAGTCCTTCAGCATCTCTCCTTTGATCACTGCACTAAGATTTTCAGAATAACTTAGTTGTAACCTCACAGACTGTTTGGGATGCAGGCTCAGAGCAGCATGTACCATCCAGTAGATAGCTGAAAGACAAGCAGAGAGTCTGTGATCTTGAGACCCATGACTTGGAATATCAGGTTCTTTCAGGAGAGGAAGAGCTCTGTTCTTAAGGAGATAAAACTAATGATTCAAAAGTTTTTCGTTTTAGAACCTTGAAATCATGATCCATTGACCACATTTATGTTTTTATTTTTAATATGCTGTATCATATCTGGAGTTTAATTTTTCTTTGTGAATTTGATGACACAGAACTCACATGATCAGGTTATTAAGGGAACAGGAAATATGTCCCTGTGCTTCACAAGATGTTGACACAGTTCAAGGTCTGAATCTTTATGATTTATAGCTTCCTGTGCTGCTTACCGTTGACATGTGGGCAACTGACTTTATGACTTTGGGTTGACAGGAAAAACTTTTTTATTATTTATATTTTTGGAGTGAATCAATAAACATTGTTCAAATATTTAGAAACCTTAGTTGAAAATCCAAGTTATTCACCAGGGAGATAAAAATATTTTATTTCTAGTCATAAGTTTGGGTTCTTAATAAGCTTGAATACCAAGCTTGTATGAGTAATACAACCAACCTCATCCTATATTTAGAAACTTGAATTTTAGTTGCACGATTCAGTAAATCCATACTTAGCTTCTACAGTTTACATACAGAAATCTTTCTGAATAAAGGGAAAGTGGCTTTCTTGTTTCTGTATCCTGGATTTAAAAAAAAAATACTGATTTATTTATTTGACAACATCAGGTCTCAGTTGCTGCATATGGGATCTTTGTTGGGTCACACGGGATCTCTCGTTGCAATGCACGGCCTCAGTAGTAGTGTGCAGACTCTCTAGCTTAGTAGCCCCATTGCATGTGGGGTCTTAGTTCCCTCACCAGGGATCGAACCCATGTCCCCTGCATTGCAAGCAGATTCTTAAGCGCTGGACCAACAGAGAAGTTTGCTTATCCCAGTCTTGTCCTCTGAAACCCACCTCTTTACTTCCCACCTCTGTTACTTAGTGAGAAAGAATTGGAGTCTCTCCTAAGACTTCATTTAAATCTTCATGTCCTTCATTTCCTCCTCTTCTCAAGCAATATGGGCTTCCCTCATAGCTCAGTTGGTAAAGAATCCACCTGCAATGCAGGAGACCCTGGTTCAATCCCTGGGTTGGGAAGATCCGCTGGAGAAGGGATAGGCTACCCACTCCAGTATTCTTGGGCTTCCCTGTGGCTCAGCTGGCAAAGAATCTGCCTGCAATGTGGGAGACCTGGGTTCAATCCCTGGGTTTGGAAGATCCCCTGGAGAAGGGAAAGGCTACCCACTCCAGTGTTCTGGCCCGGAGAATTCCACGGACTGCAAAGAGTCGGACATGACTGAGCAGCTTTCAGTTTCACTCAAGCAATAGTCCCATTATGGCTCTCCATCCGTTAGAGCAGCTGTTGACTTTAGTCACTTCTCTTTAGTTTACTCTCTGGCACCCAGTCCTGAATGGAGTTGTGTTTTCATACCCTTCTCTGAGTTCTGGAGGAGGGGCGTGCACTCAGGACTGTTTAGGTCCCACCACCTACCCGGCCCTGCCCACGGCTGCCAGACAGTAAAGCTACTTTATTTACCAGTGAGCCAGTACATTTGCTCCTCTGGCTCCTCAAGCTTCTGTGTACTTACCCTGGCTTATGTCAACAGAACATGCCTCTCCCAAGTGCAGCGTCTTCCTCCTCTCCTCAGCCCATCTGCATTACCCTGACTCACCACCCCCACGGTCCCCACCACCTGTCCACCATGCTTGCCCCACCCGTGGGCCCTGGGCGCTGCCCTTCCCCGGCTGCTTTCTTCACATCTCTTTTCTGAGGGTATCAGACAGCTGAGGGCCTGCTCCCCACATGAATGACCATGTCTTTATTACATTAGGATACTGTTGCAGTTCTTACAAAGCCCACTCATTTATGTTTTCTATGTATTTACACTCACATGTGTGAAACCTCTGTGGTTACTGGCCTCCTTTTTTTCTTTCTCTAGTAGAATCTCCCACAGCTCCTCCCAGTCCTAGAAAAGTGAGACAAGGTACAACATTCACTTCACGTAGGGATCTAAAGAAAGGGTGGCTGTGTTAGGACAGGTGCCAACGAGGGGCTGGTCATGTCTACAACCAGTCCTTGTAATTTTCAGTTGAATATTACTTGATATACAGATGTACATATATTGCAAAATAAACTTGAGGAAATGTTAATGTGTTTTTAGGAAAGGGTGTAATCCTCAGGTTAGAAATTGTAAGCTTATATTTAGGATAATCACTAATGAATATCTATCCAGCTCTTGATTATTAGATCATCAATAATATTAAATAGCACAAAGTAACAAAATAGCTTTAGGAAGCATGTTTTACTTAAATATAAAGTATATGCTTACCTAAAATGTTCTGAAAATAATTCACTTCACATAAGGAATTGGGACAAAAATGCAGGGGTAGTTAAAATCTAACTCAGGAGAAGCTGACTGGTTATCTGATTTCCCTTTCCTGCAATTCTGGAATTACCCACCAACCCAGCTCCCCACCCTCACCTATTTGAGTTAAAAAATTGACCTCACGGCTGATCCGTGAGGCCAAATTTGTCTGGCACAGAGAGGCAGTCAATTGCCTTGGTTTCAAAGGATTTCCCTACTAACAGAAGACAAAGTAAAAACAAAACTGATGGACTGGATATGTCCTAAAAATAATTTTGAGGGCTGGATTTGGGACAAATGAGGTGGGCTGTCAGTACTTTGCTTCCAGCATTAAGTTCTGGATTTTAGGATTAAAAGGAAATACATAGTCTAAATGTGTGCATGCTAAGTTGCTTCAGTCATGTCCAACTCTCTGTGACCCTATGGACCATAGCCCGCCAGGCTCCTCTCACTGTCCATGGAATTCTCCAGGCAAGAATATTGGAGTGGGTTGCCATGCCCTCTTCCAGGGGATCTTTCTGACCCACGGTCTCCTGCGGCTCCTGCATTGCAGGCAGACTCTTGATGGCTGAGCCACCGGCGAAGCCCATAATCTAGATAGATGTAGTTAAATTCTAGAAAATTTCACTGTGTGTTCTTTGAGAAAAACAGTAAGAATATACTATCGCTATTGATACTGTAAATTAGTATGAAAGACAAAAATATATGCCAGACCAAAAAGTGCCAAATTAAAAGTTCATACTGAGCTTGCTGAAACTTTGTCTGAATACCATTTGTGTTGGAGTAGGTAAGTCTGTCTCCCTTAATCCTCTCCTTCCTTCCTTCTTTCATCTCCTACTGCTTTATCCATTTAAGTGTGGCTGTTTACTCCACAAGCTGTCTTCCTGTAACCACTGTCTCTGTCTGTCTCCCATTGTTTTCTTTTTGTCTCACCTACTCACCTACTTTGCCAATAAGGGTCCATCTAGTCCTATGGTTTTTCCAGTAGTCATGTATGGATGTGAAAGTTGGACTATAAAAAAAGCTGAATGCCGAAGAATTGATGTTTTTGAACTGTGGTGTTGGAGGAGAAAGGAAATCAGTCCTGAATATTCATTGGAAGGACTGATGCTGAAGCTGAAACTCTAATACTTTGGCCACCTGATGCGAAGAGCTGACTCACTGGAAAATACCCTGATGCTGGGAAAGATTGAAGGTGGGAGGAGAAGGGGACAACAGAGGATGAGATGGTTGGATGGCATCACCAACTCAATGGACATGAGTTTGAGTAAATTCCAGGAGTTGGTGACGGACAGGGAGGCCTGGCATGCTGCAGTCCATGGGGTCACAAAGAGTCGGACACGACTGAGCGACTGAACTGAATTGAACTGAACTCTACTACAACCCTTTTCTCTACCTGATAGCCTCCCATGTCTCTGTCCTGTGGGAAAGGGGTGGAACCTGGGGGTCGGGGAGACAAACCCTCGTGAACCCTGGGAGGCCTCTTGTCTAGGGCCTGAGGCTGCAGCAGAGAGCAGATGGCCCTTCTTAAAGGCCAGACTCTGTGCTTGGCATTCTACCTATGCTGATTCTCATCAATGATTACAGTCATTCTCTTAGGAAGCTCTACTCTTCCTTTTTACAAATGAGAGAACGGAAGCCCAGAGGCATTCAGTCATTTGTCAAGGTTAACACAGAAAGTTTATGGCTGAACCAGGATACAAACCCAGGGTTGTCTTCAGTTGGGCTGTGCTGCCTTCAGACCATGTCAGCTGAAACAGAAACAAACTTTTGGAATGGAATCTGGTCCTGAGTTAAATCTATCAATACTCAGAAAGTAAAACAAGTAGAGCTTGTTAAGAGCCATGAAACAATGTACCTTGATGATCTTATACACAATTATATTTGTTGTTCAGTCACTCAGTCATGTCCTACTCTTTGCAACCCTATGGGTTGCAGCACGCCAGGCTTCCCTGTCCTTCAACATCTCCTGGAGCTTGCTCAAACTCATGTCCGTTGAGTCAGTGATGCCATCCAGCCATCTCATCCTCTGTCATCCCCTTCTCCTCCCACCTTCAATTATTCCCAGCATCAGAGTATTTTCAAATGAGTCAGCTCTTCGCATCAGGTGTCCAAAGTATTGGAGCTTCAGCTTCAGGATCAGTCCGTCCAATGAATATTCAGGGTTGATTTCCTTTAGGATTGATTGGTTTGATTTCCATGCAGTCCAAGGGATGCTCAAGAGTCACCACAGTTCAAAAACATCAATTCTTTAGTGCTCAGTCTTCTTTATGGTCCAGCTCTCACATCCATACATGACTACTGGAAAAACCATAGCTTCAACTATATGGATTCTTTTGGTGGCTCAGACGGTAAAGTCTGCCTGCAATGCAGGAGACCTGAGTTCAATCCCTGGGTCGGGAAGATCTCCTGGAGAAGGAAATGGCAACCCACTCCAGTATTCTTGCCTAGAGAATCCCATGGACAGAGGAGCCTGGCAGGCTACAGTCCATGGAGTCACAAAGAATTGGACACGACTGATCAACTTCACTTTCACTTTGTCGGCAAAGTAATGTCTCTGCTTTTTAATATGCTGGCTAGATTTGTCAAGTTTTTCTTCCAAGGAGCAAGCATCTTTTAATTTCATGGCTGCAGTTACTATCTGCAGTGATTTTTGGAGCCCAAGAAAATAGTCTGTCACTGTTTCCATTGTTTCCGTATCTATCTTAAAGTATTACAATTCTGAATTCATTACTCAGATAGTTTTCTAAAAACTCAGAACATCTCTCTTCACAACTTGTAGTATTTTCCCAGTAGTGGGAATGGTGAGTGGGTTACTATTTGGCTGTCAGCTGTGCAATGAACATTTCATGGGTAAGAATCATGTAAAAGAATACTTCTTATTTCTTTGGAGAATGTATCAGATACCAGTGGGGAACTGAATGTACCAGGAACACAGCTGTCCTTTTACTCAGTTCATTGCTCCCCTTAGAAGGCAGAAAAATAACAGTAACAGACACAACAACCCAGGCAATCTTCATTAACATTTACTGGGGACTGATTATGTGCCAGGTACTATTGGTGACCTCCCCTGTAGTTGTGAAGTCACAGTGTTAGTCGCTTAGTCATATCCGATGCTTTGCGACCCCATGGACTGTAACCCGCCAGGCTCCTCCATCCATGGAATTCTCCAGGCAAGAATACTGGAGTGGGCTGCCATTCCCTTCTCCAGGGGATCTTCCTGACCCAGGGATCAAACCCGGGTCTCCTGCATTGCAGGCGGATTCTTTACTGTCTGAACCACCAGGGAAGAGTTACTTCTCAAATTTTCATAGTTTAAAAGAGAGAGAGTACCTTTCTTCTTTGCATTCATTGCCTATTATATTACCCATGTTGACCAACTTTTTTGATGAGGGACTCTGCAGGTAAACACCATATATAAATTTGTTTGCCATTATGGCCATAAAAGAAAACAGAACAACATCTCTGAATAGTCTGTCAGCCAATTAGTGGTGCAAGTTTTAAATTCTTGTCTGGAAACACACTTTCTAGAGCTTTGCTACTCACCTTGGATGTCTGTGGATCTGGGAGCTTATTACATAAGCAGAAACTCAGAGCTCCCAACCCACCCCTGCTCCCCAGCCAGCTGCTAGATCAGAATCTGCATTTCAATAAAACCCCAGGATGTCTGTGTTCATTTTAGCTTGAGAACCCTTGTCTAGAAGGTCATTCTGTGGCTGCTCCCGCTTCATTATCCTGTCAACCAATATAATTTCCTTCTGCAGATTACTGGAAGAATTGGTTCAGAAAGAGAAAGAATTACAAGCACTCCTTCATCAAGCTATTGAAGAGAAAGACCAAGAAATTAAACACCTGAAGCTTAAGTCCCAACCAATAGGTGAATAGCAGAAAATTTTAAAGTAACACTGTTCAACCAGACTGCCACAGAAAACTAGAAAGCCAACAGGCAAACTTTATGTCATGGCTTACTCAGCATCTGTCACTTGTACCACAACTACAAGCAGAGATTGCTGTACAAAAATATCCAATTCTTAATTGTAGCAAACTATTATTTCTTACAAGTACAGTAAAAATGATTCATAATTATCTTTTCCTGAGATTATATATTATTGAGGTAAATAGGGCTCTCCACTTTTTTGTCTTTTCTTTTTAAGGATTTCACAAAGAAATTACTAGAATGATATAATACTATTTTTGTCATTTTGCATTTGTATTCTATGTGTTCTAGTGTTTTATAATTTGATAAGGCTTAAGTATAATAAAGATAAAGCAGTAGCAAGTCATAAGTTGAATATACTTTAATAAAATGTTTTGTCAATTATAGCTCAGTTTTTTTATTTTTTAAGTCATAGATTGGAACCCTAAAGAAATCTATTCTGTGAGAAATTGGGGATGAAAGATAATCTTTAGGCAATCTTATTTAGCCCATTTAGAGGAAAATAAAAGTCATTATTTTTTGTTCAGATATATGGTCCTTCCATATTATTGCAAATAGGGGGAATAGAGATTATTATAATTATATGGTTCTCTGCTAATTATGCTCATTTTTGTTGCCTGAAAAACACATAGTATGATTTTGAAGCATCATTTTATTCTAAGAAGCTATAAACTTGATACGAAACTACAAGGTGGAAGTACCATTAATTATTGTTAGTGACTCTCCATTTACTAGTATATTAAGCAGCCTTAAAGAGTTTGATTTACATTATCTTGTAGACTGCCAATCTCAATGGTTTCTATTAATTATACTGTGATGGAGAAAAGTCTGTTAAAGTATCAATAAATGTTGACTTATCAAATGACCTCTGAAGCTAAGAATGTCCCTCCTTATCCCCCCACCCCAATTCTGTTCTAGATATTCCTGGGTTGCCTCTGAGTCACTCCAATTCCCCTGGCACAAACACTGAAGATTCTGCACTTAGTGACTGGCTGAGGGAGAATGGAGCCGATGAAGACACTATAAGTCGGGTAAAGAAAATGTTCTACGAGACAAACGTTTTCTCACTTCTTTCCTAATGCTGAGTGCCTCCTATGTGCCAGGCACGGGGGATACACTGGTGAGAAACTCTGACCCAGCCCTGCCCTCCTGAGGCTCACAGACTAGGGTAGGCAGACCATAATCAAAGAATTCCACGTGTACAAATGTAATTATGTCCTGGTCAAGTCTGTAAAGGAAAGGTTATTAGGTGTTAGGAGAGAGAGGGAGGGAGAAGTTGGGGAAGGTTCTTGGAAAAGATGATTGGCGAGCTGGTGTCTAAAGGAATACTTAGGAATAAACTGTATGTCTGTTCTGGGATGGGGGAAAGGCAAAAAGGGAAGACCATTCGGGGCGGAGGACAGAGACAGTGAGGCAGACAAAAGCTCTGTGGTCCAGAACCTGTAAGGATTTTTATGCTGTTTAATTGAAAATAAAGAAGAATAGGAAAAATCAAGACAAGAACTAAAAGGAAAAAGTTCTTCTGCTTCTCATTCTTTCTCTCATTTTTTAACCCTTAAATTCTCATGTGACATTCTTAGACTCCACTGGACAGCAGCTATTTATTGCTACTTAATAAAATAGATGAGTTAGTGAACTTATATCAGAAACACTTTCTATACAAACTATATTATATAGGGAACTTTTGTAGTTAGCATGAATAGATTTCTTTATGTTGTAAGATCACACATATGTGCAGTAAGAGGTTATATTTTTATTATTTTATAGAAATAATAAATAGTTTATATAAATAGGAAATATTATACAGAGCGAAGTAAGCCAGAAAGATAAAGACCATTACAGTATACTAACACATATATATAGAATTTAGAAAGATGGTAACGATAACCCTATACGAAAAACAGAAGAAGAGACTCAGATGTATAGAACAGACTTGTGGACTCCGGGAGAAGGCGAGGGTGGGATGTTTCAAGAGAACAGCATCGAAACATGTATATTATCTAGGGTGAAACAGATAACCAGCCCAGGTTGGGTGCATGAGACAAGTGCTGGCCTCCACCCAGAGGGATCGGGTGGAGAGGGAGGTGGGAGGGGGGACCGGGATGGGGAATACATGTAAATCCATGGCTAATTCATTTCAATGTATGACAAAAACCACTGCAATGATGTAAAGTAATTAGCCTCCAACTAATAAAAATAAATGGAAAAAAATAAATAAATAAATTTCATGGTCTTTGCTAATAATAATAATAATAATAATAATAAATAGTTTATATAAATAGGAAATATTATTTATTTTAATACAATATTATGTTGATTTCAGTTTTATATTTAAATTTTTTCAATGACTAAGAAAAAAGATGAATTTCTCTTGGCTTGATAATTTATTAGATTGTTTAATAAAATTTAAGAGTCTCCTTAGAAATCTGCAAGCAAATTACAAAAATTTAAAGGATTTTCTCACCTATGGGAAAAATTTATCCAATTAAATATTCCAAAATATTTTCCTCTCTAACTTAGACTCAAATAAAAACTAAGGAGTAGGCATTGATGACCCTCTAAATCACTGACCTTTTTGAAAGATTTAAAATTAAAAGCTTCACTTAAATTCAGGACTCTGATTTTGTAGTAAGTATCAGAAAATTTTCCGAAATTAAGTGTAAACAACACATTTTACCCACAGGGAAAAAATAAAGTTACAAAGCACTAAACCTTTTAAATACAAACATTATCTTATAAGCAGCAGATATAATTACAAGCAAGTCTTATCTATTCATCAGAAGACCAGTCAGAAGTACTGTGTTACTTATCATCTTTCTGCTCCTAGCAGTCCTATGAATGTAATTTTTTGTAATTATTTTGTAATGGGGGGACTTTTTTCTAATAATTCCAAAAGATTCTGTCTTTAGTGAATTTCCTTTTAGATTTATTTTTCATTATTGCCAATGTTTACATTGTGGATAGTTTGCTACTTATGGAAGTGCGTAAGACATCTTACTTTTGTGCATATTTTACTTTCTCCACAGTTTTTGGCTGAGGAGTATTCATTAATGGATGTTCTCTACTATGTTACACGTGATGATTTAAAATGCCTGAGACTAAGGTACCACTTTTCTTTCTGTTCAGTCTCATCATGATGGAAAGAGCACTGGGCTGAGATCAAGAAGCCTGGGCCCCTTCCCAGCTGATAGCTAACTAGCTCTAACTAGCTCTCCAGTCTTGGGTAGAGTGCTCGAGTTCTCAGCCGCTCTGAGTAACCTGACTTGCTTAGACCAGGCTATTATTGGGAGCACTAATAACCAATATGTCCATATTAAGAATGCAAATCAGCCAGAAGAATTTCTTGATAACATATCAGATTAAGACCATGCAGATATCTTAAAGCTGATATTTTAAACCAAATGCTCTAATTTGGTTCATGATCATATCATACTTACTAAAAATACCAAATAACATGGTATAATCTGAACACAGTTTCTTACAATAATTTGTTATCTCCATCAGGCCAAGCACAGACATAACTATTGTTCTTATCCACCTCTAGAAAGACGCATTTCAAAAGTGCTGAAAATCTAAAATGATGCTTTGGGCTCTGGTTGTCTGTGGGAGTGGAGAGGAAAGGCGTGGAGGGGTGAGGAGAAAATATCTACAAAAAGAATATATCAGGACTGACAAGCCTTTGGGATCTTCATGTTCTGATCAGAGCCGCTGAAAACTGAGAAGTCACTTTCATATTTCAAGGGCGCTGTTTCAAGTGGCCATCTCTTCACCATGTGCTTGTGTCTTTACACAGGGGCGGGATGCTGTGCGCACTGTGGAAAGCCATCACTGACTTCCGAGACAAACAGGCTTGACTGTCACTCAGCTTGCTTCCAGCTTTCCGCGGAGATTCTAAAAATGAATATAGACCTGATCTTCTTCTAGGGGAGGGAGAATTGAAGGGACAGGAGAAAGAAGCTGCACTTTAAATCCAGTATTTGTTTACTCGTGTTAAAAAAGAATAGACGAAATACACTGAAATTTCCTAACTGCTTCTGTTTCTATGATTCATAAGGACTCTATAAGGACTCTCAAAATAATGCCAAACACTGTGATGTTTGGGATTATTTTGGTCTGAACATTTTTACGGAAATATTTTAATTCAGCAGCTATAATAACTCAGCCAAATGTTTATTTCACACGAAACAGATAGAACATTTCATGTGATTGTGCATCACTGGAACAAAACCAAAATGTGACCATAACTTTTTAGGCTTATCTGTGTTTGTATTATACCCTGATCATTTGAGTAGAAGTGCGTGATTTGGATTATTGTATAAAGTTTATGGGTTTTTTTTTAAAGTGTGCAGAATCTGAGAGCAGTGGTTTTTACTTACCTGTATTAATTGTAATATTAACTCTATTTTGTAACTTAAGTTTCTGGTCTAGAGTACATTCGTTTGAGTCATTTATGTACTACTGAACTGTACCAGTTGCACCGGCCTGAATCCTAGTAATGTTAGCTTGTTCTAAAGCTATCCCTTGTGTCATATTTACTCTAAAAAGTAAAAAGACTCTCAAAATACTGTTTTGATAAATTCTATATTTTGTTTTGGCAGTCTAGATAATTACTGTGTCAAAATTCTAACTGTTCCTTCAGCTCTAACATTAAATAGAATCTGTCTTCTCTTCAAGTACTCAAAGAGCAACTGATTTCCAAGTCATTCCTTGGAGCTACTGAGTGGGAAGAGAGAAAGTCCATGGAAAACAGAATAAAAGAAACTCAGTGTATTTTTCTCAAGACCCCAAGTTACCTTGGATGACTACTGTGTATCTCAACGGGTCTGCACATAGCACCCCACTGGGGAACACTGCATTTTCTGTCTCCTTAATTTTAGTTCTCATATTTGAGGTAAATATTTTTATATTAAGCTGGATATGTGTTATATTTTATAAGACTGCCCATATGAATAGGATAAAATCTGAAGCTCCTAGATGGATGAATGACATAAACAAATTTCTTAAATACAGAGGAACTTGTTTATTATGCAATATAGAAATAACAGAGCTGATCTTGTATCATGACTTGATCCATACAGAACAGTCTTTAATAAAACAGGAGTCATCTTTATTTCTATGTGAAAATCAACATACAATATACCTTTTACATATTGCATTAGAGTGTGCAAAAAGTTCTCACCAGTATGTTCCTATTTGATACTTGCAACAGCTGCATTTTTTTCTTCCATCCCAATCCTGAGAGCCGTGATGTGTCCTGTGGCGAAATCTCGAAGGAGGTGAGGTGTAAATGAAGTCATAAATCATCTCACACTTAAAGACAGGATAACTTGTTTATCAAGCCACAGTTCATATCCCCACCTGTAATGGTTAAGTGCTTCTTTTAAAACCATATATGTATATACACATCAAGCTACCTATCTTGAGTCAACTCTTTAATGATGTAATCTCCTCTTGGGATCTCCTTCCTACCCTATGTAGTAGTAGTACTCAGTAGCTCAGCCGTGTCAACTCTTTTGTGACCCCATAAACCGCAGGCCACACGCTCTTCTGTCCATGGGATTATCCCAGCAAGAATAGAATACTGGATTGGATTGCTATTTCCTCCTCCTCCTCTTCCCCTGTATCTATGGGCAAATGTTCCTCTATCCCTACATGGTTCATAATATACTCCCAGACTAGCATCCTTGGGGTTTTTTCAGAATTCTGGGCCTTAGTCACAAAAGAAGGCAATTCCATTATAGCTCAATTTCCATGAAAGTTTTGCACTGAAAGGCCTTTGGCATCCATCAAGGCCCGTGATTCTCAATCCAGCTTCATGTTAACATGATCTGGACACTTAAAAAAATATATTGATACCACCACCTCAGAGAAACTGTTGTTACTGGTTTGGGGTAGGACCCAGAGATCTTTTTACAAAGCTCTACAGATAATTTAAGGCTTCCCAGGTGGCTCAGTGGTAAAGAATCTGCCTTCAGTGCAGGAGATGCAGGTTTGATGCCTGGGTTGGGAAGATCTCCTGGAAAAGGAAGTGCCAACCCACTCCAGTATTCTTGCCTGGTAAATCCCATGGACAGAGGAGCCTGGCAGGCTACAGTCATGGGGTTGCAAAAGAATCAGACATGACTTAACAACTAAACAACAACAGATAATTTAACACTGTCAGGTCCCACCTCCTAATGCCAGGTGACACCTGGAGAGATACATGGACAGCTCCTTTCCATTAACGTGGCAATAAGATGGTTACTATATACTGTTCATTTAGTGCAGAAAGAGTCCAGGCACAGAGGCCTGGAGCAAAACTACCACCTCCCTTGTGACCTTGGGCAAGCTAATTCACCTCTCCCACTCTCAGTTTCCTCATTTGAAATGGGGGAAAGTACATGGGGTTGTTGTAAGATTTAAGTAATTGTTTTAAACCTATAGGTGTGGATCTGCTTAGTACAATACTTAGCAGATGGATAGCACTGCCATGCTGCCTGCTATTATGATCATTCATTCCAAAGTACTTCTTAAATACGTACTGGGTACTGAATCCTGTGCATGAAGAAGACACAGTTCTTTTCCCTGAAGCTCACTTTCAGAGGTGGAATCAAGACAATAGAAACAACAGAACATGTAGTAAGTGCTATAGTTGCATCAAACTGCCAGAGCAGGTCAAAAGAGGCTTTATAGCAAAGTGAAGGTCCAGAGCTGAGCCTAGAAAGATTTTTGTAACAAAATAGATGCACATGGGTGCCAGGGGCAGACTCAAAAATAGATCCAATGTTTCTTTTAAACCACAGCTTGACCTCTTTCTCCTAGTTCTGTTATTGCATATTGTGTTTCTTTCATTCCCAAGCTATCACATGACACAGTTTGGCAAAGAGGAATTAACTGCGAACCCACTGGAAGGCCTACTGTGTGTGAGGTGCTGTAGCAGCAGGAGAGATAGACACGCAGCCCATCAGGTTCAGAATGCAGGCACGTGGGTCACTGAGGACATCTGCAGCCTGTCAACAAATCAAATAATTGATGGCTCCAGACTTTATGGACACCTACAGAGAAAGACAAGACAAAGTCCCTGCCACCAAGTCATTCGTATCAGATTGAAGAGGCAGATGTGCAGTAACAAACCACATCTGGTCTGTGTTAAAAGCTGCACAAGGTACAAGTACAGAAGACCACGGAGATGTTCAGAGGACCAGCTTGCCAAGAGACCCAGGGCAGATGGAATAAATCTCACTGAGTTGGTGGACCTCAACCTGGGCCTTGGAAGAAGGGAAGTATTAAATTACCTAGGACTGGAGAAGTCACTTTGGCAAACAGCTCCAAGAATAAAGGCAGTAAGAGATTTTCAAGTATTCTAGAGAAAGTGAACAACTTTCATCTTGCACTAAAGCATACACAAATCTTAACTCATTTTAACTATTGAAGAAGTGAAGTCGTTTGCTCAGTCATGTCCAGCTCTTTGCGACCCCATGGACCAGCCTACCAGGCTCCTCCCTCCATGGGATTCTCCAGGCAAGAATACTGGAGTGGGTTGCCATTTATTACTTGGCTGGAAATATGAATTATAGAGATGAAAAGTGGAAATGGGATAGGAGAGCTCAGGATGTAATTGGGGGATGGTCAAGGAGGGAAGTGGAGTTAGTATTTAATTATGTAGAAATGGGGAATCTAAGTTTTCTGAGCAAGGTGTATGTGTGTGTGAGAAGATTAACTTGGTAACATTGTATTGGGTAAATTAGAAGGAATGGAAATTTGACCGAGCAGTTCAGAAACTGTTTAAGATGTGAATGAGGGTCTAGTGGAAGCTACAGAGTGATATGATGTGAGAGGGTAGAATTAAAACAATGAATTGACAAAATTTTGGAATCCTGGTTTGGGCAGTGATGAAGATTTTGAACCTAGGTAAGAGAATTCAAAAATAGGCATGTTGGGGGGGTGGTGCTGGTCTGGGGACCTGTTGAATTAATGTCAGGGCATCCTGCTAGAATGTGCATGAATGAGAACATGCTAGAATGTCCAGAGACCCTTGAGGATGTATTGGTGGAAGTCAGGACTGAAGTCAGGGTATAGATTCTCAATTTAGGAGTCACTTGGATGGAGATAACAGTAGATGAGGGCTGTCAGAAATAGAATAGAGATAGAAAGGTCATGGCCTAAGATTTGGGGAGGAGGCAGGTTTGGGGACAAGCTGAGAAGGAGGAAGAATTTAAGTCCACAAAACAGACAAAAGAACTGAACACAGAGGAGTGAGAAACATCAGGCCAGTGGGGTAAGCCACGAGGAAAACAATCTGGCTCGAGTGCTGCAGAAAGTCTAAGGGAACACAAGTCAAAAATTAATAATGGAATTTGATTTTATGAGCGGGAAAGCTTTTACAGACAGGTAAGAAAGACCACAGCCAGTTAAACAAAGATGATACACTGATGGAGGCATAAGGTCCACAAATTCATTCCCTTTGGTGAAAAAAATATATCATGAGATTTGGCAGGGTGGGGAGTCAAAGGATAAACTTTTCAGAATCAGAGAGTCCTGAATGTATTTGTTGGGGCAGAGCCCCTTGAATGGAGGCGTTTAGGGAGTAAGGATAAGGGAGAGATGAGATTTCAGAGGAGGCAGGAAGGGGAGTGGGTGGCCTGAGGACATCCAGCTCCTCCCCTGGAAAAGGGAGTATGATGATTCAGCAAGGTTTTGAGTTGGATGTGGGTGCTCAGGACAGATGGCTTCCACGTTCTCAGTAAAGTGCAACATGAAATACAGTGTGGTGCTGTGACATTTAACAGATGTCACCCATCCCCGTAGTCACCCAACCGTCCACTCTGTTCAGACACTGCATGGGGTCTGGAATACAGTCTGTACAGGGTCTAAGTGCAGGATTTTGGTGTGTTTCTTGTTGCATTTATTTTTTTTGTAACTTGTGACAAACGTAAGTTATCAAAAGAATGGGAGACGGGATGAGCACAGACTAACAAAAACCAAACGCACATACAAATAAACACACCAGAAAGCCTTCACTTTTGGGAGGGAAGTCAAAGGAAGAACTCATTGGTTCACTTAAGAGTATAGCAGAAGATTAAAAACAAACGGCCTCCTTTTCCTTAGGCGCATTCTTGATTCTTTTTCTTTCAGAGAATTCAGAGTCTTTCTGATGTTCAAAGGAAAGTGTCTTAAATCCTGGTGACTTAATATATTAAAAAAAAAAAATACCTTTGGTTGGACCCAAGCTGAGGTCTGAAACTACCTCCACCCACCTGATGCTTTATTTTCATTGATTAGAAAGGCGGTAAGAGTGATCTGAATGTGATTTAGGAAGGTCACATTGCCAGATGATCAGTTTGCCTAGTCTACTATAGAAATAGCACGGAGGAAAAATCCATAACAACAAACCGCAGCACGTGTGCCTTAATGAAACCTCTATCTAATCAGCCAATGACCCAGTAAACCAAATAAAACCAGTCCATTCCTGGGCTCAGAGTGGCAGGATGTTCATGCATGGATGGTGAGAGTTGTCACCCTACCAAGAAATCCAGCGCTGTTCTCAGACACGCTTGGGCTCCCCTAGATTCTGCTGAAGTCCTTGAGAGGATTTTAAACTGTTGGGAGCTTGTGACTTGTGTTCAGCCAACCAAGGCTGTGGGACTGCATCTCTGTGTAACCAGGCAGAACTGATCTCTGCTCCATTTCTTTCCTTTATGTTTCCATTTATACAGGCTACTTGCTTTTTTCTTCTCAGCATTTGTTGCTTGTTAGCGCAGAAATTGATGTCTCTGCAGCTAATAATCTGTTTCTTAAAAAAGAAAGAAAGAAATTGTTGCCTACTGCTTTTTCCCCTGGTCTTCCGGAGCCAGCCACGAGTCACAAGGTAAGCTGCTAATCAGAAGTCAAGAATAAGAAAAGTTACATCATCGGGCACAAAGTTGTGTGCCCTGGGGAGCATAAGATACAGAAGCCTGATGAAAAGACAGGCCATCGGCAACGGTGTGCTAAAACGCAAATGAAGACTGGACCGCTGAGTCGAATCCAGCCCGTGTAGTTCGGCTTTCCCCGTGGCATCACAGTCTCCGGCGGCTGCCGCCAGGAACCCCAGCCCTGGCTAGTCTAACATTGATCAGGCTGCCTCGGAGCTCAGAGGGGAGTAGAGCTTTCCGGATGCTCTCGCCTCACTTCCACGGATCCTCAGAGCGTCCCAGTTCCTAGCGCCACCAAGCGTCCCCGAACCCCCTGCAGACCTCGAGGAGCCGGGCAGCCGGGACCAGAAGCTCGCGGCCCAGGTTGCCAGACTCCGCCCGCTGCTCTGGTTGCGGAAACACGGCCGCGTCAGCCGGAGCGGTTGCCACGCCGTACCTGCCCACGAGGGGGCGCACCGGGCGCAGGCCGCCGCGGGCTCGCGAGCGCTCGCTCCCTCCTTCCTCCGCCCTCCCTAGTCGGCGCTCACCTGTCTGGGCCGCGGGCCGGGAGGCGGGGGGCCGGCGGGAGCCAAGCCGAGGAAGAGGGCGGAGCGGCTCTCCGGGCGCGTCATCGGAGCACCATGGCGGACCTGGGAGCGGGCGGCGACAGCCACACGGGCGGCGATGGCGTGGCGCAGAGCGAAACAGGTGACTGAGCTGCGGGGCCAGGTGGGGGTCGGCGGGCGCAGGCGGGAGGGCGGCCAGCGGGGCTGCGGGGCTCGCGTGGGGCCGGCGCTCCCCTCCCCCGCCCGGCCGCGGCCCGGAACGGCCGGCTCGGAGCGCGCTGGCCCTCCGCCCTCCGCCGCCGCGCGTAGATCGCGCGGCCCCGGCGCCCAAGTTCGCTGGCGCCCGGCCGCAGCCAGGGCCGCCCCTCTCGCGCTCCAGCTCGACTTCCCCCAACAGGTGGAAGCGCGCCAGGGAGCGCGGGCGAGAGGAGGAAATGGGGAGACGCCGGTCCTCCTCTCCCACCTGCCAGGCTGGGTCTAATTCGGTTGAATGGGGAAATCCTATTCCCCCAACCAAGCCACCAGCCGGAAAATCCTTGTCCAGGTGCGGCTCGCAGGATTATCCTTTTCTGCGCAAACCTTCTCGCCTTAACTGGCGCATTGGGTGCCGGGGTCGCCCGACGCGGTGGACGCAGCCCGGCGCTCCGGAGCGATTGTCCTGGGGTCCGCAGTTACGACGTCGGTCGCGAGAAGACCGAGATCGGGGGGTCGGGAAGCAGGGGCCGCTTTCGGCATGGTGCGGGCCTGCGGGTGCTGGTGGGGGTCTCAGAGAGTCGCTGACTTGAAAGGATCCTCAAGAGTTCATGTTTTAAGTCCGTGCACCAACCATAGGTGGGAACGTCGTCTCGGCCCCTCCGAACGCTGTACTGAGGACCCCGCTCCCTCCACTTCCAAGCCGCGGTCGAGGGCAGGAGCTCACATCCCTGAGAGCATTGTCTCCCCTCCTCCACTCGATTCCCGCCCCCCAACTCGATTACCCTCCCTCGCGATCATTTTTTCTTGCAGATCCACCTCTCTTTCCTAGTCCCCTCTTCTATTCTTGGCCAATAAACTGTTTCTGGTACCTTCCTACACTTGGGGGCGGTGAGGCAGTTTCTTATTTTAAAAAGCAGTGCCAATTGCAGGCTCCCCAATTAAGTTGCGTTTTCTGCTTACACATAATCGCAAAAACAATTGTTACCTAAAGGTGAGACTCCCTCCACCCTCAAAAGAGAGGTATTGACTTAGAAGGTATGTTTCTATTAATGCGAAAGGATCTGTTCAGCTAGGTAGAGTTGGGGCACCTAAAGTCTGGAGACTTAATCCCTTCAGCCAAAGTACCTGAGATTAAGACAAGGCATCTTGAATTTGTTTACTTTGAAGTCACGCTACTTCCTGAAGGGTGGTTTATTTTGTCTTAATGTGTTTGAAAGATTGGCAGGTCATTATTTTGGTTTGGGGTGGGGAAGGAGTGGTTAAGAGGACGTGCCTTTGTAAATGCTTTAGAGAACTTGATAAACTGGGTTCTGATAGTGCAGCAGGAGGACAGTATCCTCATTAAGAATATAAACGGTTTGGTGCCTAATCCGCGCAAAGGAAAAAACAACAGCAACAACAACAACAACAACAAACTGCTTCTGAAGCAAGATTGTTCCAGTGAGTTAATACGCACGCTTTATGCTAAAAATAATAAATAAGCATTTCCTAGAATTTGCACATGAAGAAGATTTTCAGATGTTAGTGAATTACAAACTAGTTTATTCAGTGCTCAGGCATGTTTGCTAAGGAACTGGTCATGCTTCTAACAATTAACATACAAATCAACCATGTGGCTGTCAGTGAAATATTTTCTTTATGATAAGGGCAATTTAACTGGCTACCATCTCCTTCATAGAGAACAATTCTTCCACATCTCTGCCTGGAAACTTCAGTTTCCAAAGGACAAGTTTTATATATAGTCTTTTGAATAAGTGTAGTTTAGTTGATAAAGAATCTGCCTGCAGTGCAGGAGACCAGGGTTTGATCCCCCAGAGAAGGAAATGGCTACCCACTCCAGTATTCTTGCTTGGAGAATCCCATGGACAGAGGAGCCTGGCGGGCTACGGTTCATGGGATCGCAAGAGTTGGACACGACTTAGTGACTAAACCACCATAGTTTAACTAAAGCTTATTTCTGGCTCATATCTTTTTCCTATTTTTCTAGCCCTGGATTACTGTTATGGCTTTTTATGGTCAGAAGACCTGTGTGATTAGGTGCCAAAGAAAGAAGGAAGGTGGGAAAAAAAAAATATATATATATATATATTTAAATCTGGGTAGCAATTGTTTGAGGATTGTAACAACTTAGGAAGTTTTTCATGTATTTAAAATATGTGACCTATATCTGAATATCAGACTTCAGTGTAGTACTTTTCTTCTTATGGACGTATTTAATATTAACATACAAATGCTGCAAGTTATTTTTTTTTTATAATTACAGGATTATATTGAAGTGGGTTTTGGGGGATGGGGTGGGGATTTGTCTTTTATTACCATCAGGAGAAGAACATTGCCACCTTAAATGGCAACATTTGTTGAAGGATTCATTGAATTCCCTTTTAGATCAGGTTATTAGGTTATTGGGCTTTCCTGGTCGCTCTGATGGTGAAGAATCCGCCTGCAATGCAGGAGACCTGGGTTTGATCCCTGGGTTAGGAAGATCCTCTGGAGAAGGGCATGGCAACCTACTCCAGAATTCTTGCCTGAAGAATTTGATGGACAGAGGAGCCTGGCAGGGGGGTGGCAAAGATTCGGACATGACTGAGTGACTAAGCCCAGCACAGCACATTAGGTTATTCGGAGGTAGAGCCCGTTCTTAAATGTCTTAGTTTTTCTGTCCTTGAAAAGACTGTGGTCTAACTTTAGGGCAATTTAGATTAGAATCTCAGTTGATTATAAAAGTAACACCTGTAATGTGTTCATTATTATATACATATGTATGTGTGTGTATCAAAGATGGGTTGAAACTGGCAGTATACCACCCATAAAATGAGACTTTTTTAAGAATATTGAAAGGTAGAATATAAAAATCATATTTATTTCAGCATTCAGAACTGTATTTCTGTCAGCATATGTTTATTTTCTACTCAGAAGCAGTCAAGTCACATTCCTTATGATGAGTTTTTAATTTTTTCTTTAAAACGAACCATTCTTTCCACTTAAATGTAGGCAAGAACTGAGCAAAATAATTGACTTGGAAACAAGTTTTTGGTTTCACCACTAAAGGATGTCAAGTCTATTCAGGTTGTTATTTTGTGTAGCAGACTGAAATTCACGAAATTGCCTCTGCCCAGGCTTTGTGTATTTAATTTTATACTAGTGCTCAAGAACTGTGAAAGTGAGTGTGCAGAGCTAATTTGTCAGTTTAATAACTTCCTTTAAAAAAGTCTATTGAATTAAAACCAAATCTAGAGCTGCTCTTGACTAATCCGTGAGAGCACACTTTCATGGACTGGAGGTAAGTTAATACTGATGACCTATGAAATCTGTTGACACTCCTTTGGGGGAAATAACTTAGAACCTGGAATTGGGCTCTTTCTCTTTAGCTGGAGAAGGCAGTGGCACCCCACTCCAGTACTCTTGCCTGGGAAATCCCATGGATGGAGGAGCCTGGTAGGCTGCGGTCCATGGAGTCTCAAAAAGTCGGACATGACTGAGCGACTTCACTTTCACTTTTCACTTTCATGCATTGGAGGAGGAAATGGCAACCCACTCCAGTGTTCTTGCCTGGAGAATCCCAGGGACGGGGGAGCCTGGTGGGCTGCTGTCTATGAGGTCGCACAGAGTCAGACGCGACTGAAGCGACTTAGCAGCAGCAGCTCTCTTTAGCAGGAAGAGCATTGACCTTTTGTGTGATCTTTTTCATGACTCTTCACTGCGTTTTTTCCAAATTATAAAGTGGTATTTAAGATCTTAGATTTCAGGGTCTGCAAATAAAAATTGTTAGGTGGGGTTCAGATGGCATTAAATTCATCCGTTTTGAAATTCACATTCTAGAGCTAGTAATGCCTCATTCAGGGGAATAGATAACTTTTTCCCTGTTATATTTTAGCTAATTCTTACCTTTACATCTTGCTAAGTAGAAGGGAAGTATTATTAGACTAGGCCTGTGGGCTCAGGAGCCTGCATTTAATTGATACATTAGTTAGGCATGTGTGTGAATCACTAATTTACATTGGCATGTTCTGTAAAAAAGAATTCTAACATCTTCATCTCCTGGGGCATGAAAAATAATCATTTGAAAGGGGTTTTTTTGGCTGTATTGAGTCTTCTTTGTTGCATGTAGGCCAGTCTCTGGTTGTGGTGGCTCAGGCTCCTCACTGAGGGTGGCTTCTCATTGCAGAGCACAGGCTCTCGGCTGCGTGGGCTTCAGTAGTTGTGACTCCATAGTTGTGGGCCCTAGAACATGCAGGCTTCAGTAGTTGTGACTCCGTAGTTGTGGGCCCTAGAACATGCAGGCTTCAGTAGTTGTGGCACACAGGTTTAGTTGCTCCGTGGCACGTGGGATCTTCCCGGACCAGGGATCAAACTCATGTCCCCTGCATTGGCAGGTGGATTCTTATCCACTGCGCTACCAGGGAAGTCCCTGGGGCTATTTTTGTTTTTTCTTTTAAACTCAAGTCTATTAATATGAGTTGAAAATATTAAGGTTTAGAATAATTTAACCAAGAAATATGTACCTTCTCGAAAACATAATGGTGACTGAAAGGTTGATAAAGACATGATCCTTAGATTTCAAAAGAAAAACAAAACCCACAAGCAAATAATTACAGGGTTATAAGGAGTTCAGTGAAGAAAGAGTTACTTCTAAGCTGTGGCCTTTCATCAGGGAGGATGTACTGGGTGTAGTAATTAAACTTTTAAAATAGGTAAATGATATATAAAGTTGAATGGGGGCAGGAGAAAAAAATACAGGTGCAGATGTAGAAAAGAGCAAAATTTGGGTCCTAGTGAGTAGTGTGAAGCTTAGTGTGAAAGAATCTAGAAGACGGATTAGGAATGAAGGCAATTGAGGCCGTGTTGTTGAGTGATCCAACTCAGAGGTTAGTCCATGATTCTGCAGGCAGTGAGAAACTGTTGATGACTCCTCAGGATAACATATCTTGATAAAGTGTGATAAATTAGGCAGTTCTCTACCTGTGGACCTTGAAAGCTTGATTAGCAAGGTCTGGCACAAGTGCTCAGCTGTGCATTTTAGAAGTGTATGGTCCGTTCATCAAAGAAAGCCATTCCCTTGATTGAATTTTGCTGCTTTGGGAAGGGTCTCGGGGGCAGGGGCAGGAGGGAGTTTATGAGGAACATACATGTAGTCAGGCAGATCAGCCAAATCTCTGGCGATCAGGAGGGGAATTGGTGTTCTACCCACGTGATCCTCATTTTGAAGTGTTGTAAACTAGGGGCGGGACTTAAGAAGGACGCACAGGGTGACGTACAGACCAGCTTTGAAGTTCCTGAAGGAAGCTCCTGGGCAAGCGTTGGGCTGGCACTGTGGCATGGCAGTGCAAGTGGGAAGAGAATGATTTAATTCAAGATTCTATAGAGGCATGTGTCCAAGGATGCAGGTAAAACATTGACATTTAAGTTTATACTCCAGGTTTGAGTTCAGTTCATTTGTTTAAGGGTGGCATGAATATAGTCATGAGGAGGACCTGGTTTTGGTGGGAGAACCAGACAAATCTCTGCTTGAAACACAGAGATTTGAACTGCAAGGGAGAGAT